ATTGAATTGAGACTTCTGCAGGCTGAACCATCCAAATTTCCAACAAAAGAGCTAAGTGCGGTTGTGTTTGATTCAGTTACAATTTGGAAATAGAGGAGCAACTATAATTACAAGTAAAACAGACTTGATATTCTTCTCAGAACCTTGCATTCAAGATGTAAATGTATATCTTGCCATTTATGATTTCCCAGCATTTGTGTTGAGAATCATTATAACTCGGTTTTACCTGCAATTCTCACAATATGTGAGTCCTTCATCCTTGTTTAAAAAAAATTGCCATAATTCATTGTTCCTGGTGAGATCTGTGGGCCCAAAGTAAAAACGCCTCATGGTCATTTTTCATCTGAAAATGACACTGCTACAATCATTGAAATGTTAGAGCTTATTTCTGTTATTTGTTTTTAAAAAAAGAGCAAAAAAATGGTAAATTGAACACCAGGGGGCTGAGCAATGATCTGAATAGTTTACTTGAAATCAAAAGATAAATTATCATCAGACCAAATGTATTTCCTTCAGTTTGCTGAAGTTGCATTTCAAGCAATGCACCATAGCCATCCATCTTTTTTATAGACAGTTCAGAAAATCTTGCAATTACAGCAGTATCAGCTCTCATAAAACACCACGGTATGGCTTTACAACCTTCCAGGCTAACAATGAGTTCAGAAATTTCAGCAGCCACAGTCCTGGCAATTGTTGTAATGTGCAGCAGAATTAATTTTCAGCCACTGGCACCATGCTCACATGATAGTCCTCACCATTGCTTAGTACGTTGTTTGACCTAGTAAACTCGAGCACTATGAAGTAGATTTGCTGCCACTATTGTCCTTTTAAATTGGCACCCACAGGTCCTGCTTTATCTTGTGTAGTAAAGGAAAACCATGAGGTAGTCTAAAGAGGTGCCAAGTTGTTGTGCAACTTAGTGCATGACATTCATCAGGTACAAGTTACATCAGTGAGGTAAACATTGTTAGTTATAACACTGTCATGGGGAGATCTAGATGGTAGGTCTGACACCTTCGAGATTCAAAGCTGTTCTGCATTTTCCCATCTAAGTCATCATAACTTTATCAGATTGGGTGGAGCTTAATGCAGTGTTCAGTGTAAACCCTTTCAGAACCATTAGGTTATACAAAAGTAATGATTCTACTGCTGTGATTTAATCATCTAGGTACATCCATTGTTTCTTTAATTGACCCTTTACCGTTTTGCTTTGCACCATTACCCCTTTTGTCGTTCAATCTCTCCTGTTGTCCATCCCATGACAAGTCTTGCCTTTTGATCTTTCCTCTCCTTTACATTCTCTTTATTTGCTTAAAATCTGTTATATCTATTTTGCCATCTGTGAAAGGCCATTAAACTGAATTGCTAACTGTGTTTTTTCTCTACAGAAACTACCAGACTTACTGAATATTTTGAGCATTTTCTGTTCTGTTCATTGCTAATTTTCTTCAATCTATCTTGGGTAAAAATGTTTTTAGCTACCTAGGTCCGGAGCACTGAAATCCAATTAATAGAATCTCTGCCTTTCTACCTTTTTCTCCTCTATAAGATGCTAACTAAAACTTACCTCCAAGTTTTTCACCAGCTATCAACAAATATATTGATTTGATAATCCCTTTTATAAATATCCGTGAAATATTTTACCACATTCAATAGTTTAGATACATATAGATGTAATTTGGTCTTTTGAACCTACTCCACAATTCAATAATATCATATTATTTGTTTCGTAGATACTTTTGCCCATCCTGTCACCACTACACAGTGCTACCCTAGTGGTTGCAGGTTGGATGGTGGGAAACTTCAGTGTGGGAGACTACAGATGTCTTTGCAGGATGCCCTTGAGCTGTTCTCACGTTAGAAGGTCTATAATTCAGACTGCATCTTCTTGGTTTGGACAGCAACAGTCTAGGATCACTAACTAACAGACTAAGGGTACTGATGCAGTGGCAATGATGTCATCCATCCCAAGAGAGGACAGCAAGTTCATGCTCCAGTGTCACACTCTCTTAGTGTTGCCTCAGTAATCCTAGTAATGCGTTCAAAGACAAACTCTGGACTGTTTGACACTCAAAGAGCTGTTTTGCAAACTGAAATCCACAGCCATGTTGCATTATGGTCAGGTTCACAAGTATTCTTCATGGAAATGTTTGACTTAATTTGGTTTGATTTATTGTTGTCACATGTATCGAGTTACAGTGAAAAGTGTTGTTTTGCATGCTATACAGGCAGATCATACCATACAAAGTGCATCAGGTAGTAGAACAAAGTGCAGAATACAGTGTTACAGCCACAGAGAAGGTACAGAGAGGGAGATCAACATTACCGTTACTGTTCAAAAGTCTGATAACAGTGGGGAAGAAACTGTTCTTGAATCTGTTCATGCGTGTATTCAAACTTTTATATCTTCTGTCCAATGGATAAAGGTGGAAGGTAATATAACTGGGGGGGAGGGCCATTGATTATGGTGGTTGCTTTCCTGAGGCAGCAGGAAATATAGATGAAGTCAATGGATGGAAGGCTGTTTTACGTGATGGACTGGGCTGTGTTCACAACTCTGTAGTTCTTTGCGGTGTTGGGAAGACTAGATGCCATACCATACTGTGATGCATCCAGATAGGATGCTTTCTATGGTGCATCTGTAAAAATTGATAAATGTCATTGTGGACATGCCAAAGTTTCTTAGCCTCCTGAGGAATTAGAGATGTTGTTGTGCTTTCTTGACTGCCACATCAATGTGGATGGGCCAGGACAGATTGTCGGTGATCATCACTCGCAGGAACCTGACACTTGCAAACATCTCCACCTCCGCACCATTGATACAGACAGGGGTGCGCTCTCCACTCTGCTTCCTGAAGACAATGACCAGTTCCTTTGTTTTGCTGACATTGAGGGAGAGATTGTTGTCTTTACACCATGCTGCTAAGCACTTAATCTCTTTCCTGTATACTGTCTCATCGTTGTTTGAGATCTGACCTACAATGGTGGTGTCGTCAATAAACTTGTAAATGGAATTGGGGCAGAATTTGGCCACAGTCGTGAGTGTATAAGGAGTACAGTAGGGGGCTGAGCATGCAGCCTTGTGGGCACCAGTATGGAGGATCATCATGGAGAGGTGTCGCCTATTCTTACTGATTGCAGTCTATGGGTCAGGAAGTCGAGGGTTCAGTTATGGAGTGGATACCGAGACCTCGGTCTCAGAGTTTGGAGATGAGTTTGTTTTGAATTATGGTGTTGAAGGCAGAGCAGTGGTCAATATGTTGGCCATTACTTTCACACTAGAAAAGATGGGCTGAAACTCAGCACAAAGTCCTGCACGCTTGGTGCTGGATTCCTTTGTGTTCCTTGGCAGTGACCACAGAGTTTCTGAAATGCAGCAACCATGTTAAGGTGCATATCCATTAGCCCAATACTGTATGCCACCCAGTGAAGTCTCTATCTGAATCCTCTTCAGCAAAGCTAGCATGCAAATCTGTCCTTCTGGCATTTTGGAACCTGCACTAACCTTTGCCGCTGCCCTGCCTGCACCCCATTCGTGCCTAGTGTCTCATCAAGTGCCAATCTCACCTCTGTTATCCTTTAAAAGGATATGCAGTGTCAGCTTCAGAGATAGTGGCTGTGAGTGAGAGTAACAGTGTTTCATGGTTTTTACTGTCTTCTAGCACTGCATTCGCAGGTTGCAGTTGCTATGTATCTGAAAAGCAAAATGCATTTGGGAAGGGTTCTAGTGTGGTAAAGGAAGAAGTGCATGCTCAGACCATCAGAAACCAGTAAATCAGAAGCAATTATCAGATGGGGGAGGAAGTGGGATGTAAGAAAGAGGATATGTACAAGCAAACCATCACCTTCAATGGTCTTGGCCCTCGTGCTGACCATGTTTTCAGTCATGGCCAATCCAATAACTGTGAATACTGTCTCCTTCATGGAGATAAGCCGTGTAGCCTTGCCTTTCTCCCTACCAATTACATGTTACTATCAGCAGTTATGCAATACTTTGTCCAACAAGAAGGTAAGAAATGTGTCAGTGTGTATGTGTTTTGATGATGTGGCCTTTGTGGTTGTATAGACAGCACTGTGCATAAGCTGTGATATGCAGGTGTAAGACTTTCAGCAGTGCTCAATGCCTGAGGGTGATGTGAAGCTGTGAATGTTAAGTATGAGTTGTGATTAATAAAAGATTATTAGGAAGTGAATGATGGGGATATGCAACGAGCAGCATCTAAGAACAAGCCGTAGTTCACAGAAAATGGCTTTTGAAGGCACATTTTAATGATCTTGACCACTCAGGTGAAGCCATTGAACATCTTCAGCCTTCTGTCCAGGCTCTTGAGGCCGGATTCCTGCCATTAACTGCCACATGTATCTGATTTCATTGTTTTATGAGAGTTTATCTGGAGGGCTTTCTGGCCCCTTGTGATTAAATGATGTTCATTCTCTTCAACTCCTCAGCCAAATTCTCTGGTGTAACAATGGAACGTGTTGGAGTGGGCCTTCGGTGTTGTGTCATAATTCAGTATACTTGTTTGTGATAATCTCTTCTGTGACCTGGAGAGGCAATTCGCCCTTGGTCCAGCCAGAACGTGCCTCCCTTTAAGCATTGCAGCTGGCTTTAAGTAATTCAGACCTGCTGTAAATGGTGCTAGGCTCTCAATGATTTTCTGGCTCTGAGGCCTACATATGAAGCATGGATTAATCACACAATGTGATCCCCAGGCCTATTTTTGTGTGTCATTACATTTTGCAACCAATCTATTTAAGTAAAATTGGTTGATAAACAGAACAATATTGCAGAACTTGCTAGGGAAATAAGACTAAGTTTAATGTGCACACTGTTATTCAGCAAGAGATAGGTTCATCTGCCTTCCTCTAAAACATTGACCTGGCAGCAATGTAAGTTCCTTCCTGCATGCAGAAGGGAACTAGCAATAACTGATTTCATTGTGGTAACCAATCTGTGAGCACTACTTTAATAAATAATAAAATAGTGCAGTCAGAATACATTTTTGACATTGAGGCTCCGATATTTTATTTCCTGAAATAAATTATCATTAAACTCAATGGTGTATAACTTCAGTATCATCACGATAATACAAGTTGGAGCCAATTTATCCCCACCCCTCAATAGCTGAAACATGAGATTATATAAGTAATTGCTCATCACATTGATATATTCAAAATAATGCATTCAGCTCCATAAGCACATTTATATTTCAGAAAATTTGAGTCAATCTTTCTCTAATCTAATCAAAGTATGTTTTTGTAGAAATTCTGAACACAGGTGTGAATTTTCTTTGCATGTTTATGATTCCATTTTGTTGGTAGCAGCCAGCATAGATGCAAAAATTGAATTCTGATTCTGTACCAGCACATCTGGCTTGTCGAATTCCACAGCCTGCAAAGCAATAACCGAATATTGTAATTATCTTATCAGCATTCTAACAAATGTGCACTGATGAAAAACACTAGGCTATAGATTCATGCTGGGCATAAAAAATAATGATATTGCAGTAAAGATGAGCATAGTGGATTTTGTCTATCTAATGGGGGAGGGGAAACACAGCTGCCATTAAATTACAACAGTTTGCTATTCTTAATCATATGGTTATAGGTCAATTTTATCCCAACTATTATTTTATCATTTTAGATAGGCACTTCCATCAATATGTTCCAATGGTGATTCCATGTACATTGTGTGTCTGTTCCCTAAATTTCAATTACTTGATTTACGCTCACTGTTGCTATGTAGATATAAGGCAGAACTATATAAAACTTTACAAATGAGCAATTCTTGCACTTTTTCTTCCCAATTCAACAACAGTCCTGACAAATGATAATTGCAATAGTCACAGTCTAATGGTCAAGTGATTACTTGAGAGGGATAATTTTGATTATCCAGAAGTTGGGTTGTCTATTGGTACTGTCTGTCGAAGCTAATAGCATTTAAAAGTATCTATGGCATTTACACAGGACATCCTTACCTTTCCATTATCCATAACTAGAATTCTGTCACATTCCAGAACTGTATTTATTCGATGTGCAATTGTCAGCATTGTGCAGTCTTTAAATGCTTCTCTGATGGTCCGTTGAACCAACGAATCTGTTTCTGAATCAATAGATGCTGTAGCCTCATCTAAAACTATAATCTAATGGAGAAACAAATGGAGATTTCTTATAAGGCATTCTATAATTGGATTTCATTTCCTTTTGTGTTATCTTTACCTTTGCACCATTAAATTCATCTGCACTGCACTGTGGTGCTTGAACTTATTAATTGTTCTAGCAAGCAACAGATCAGTGCAATAACATCAGCAAGTGCAGAACACATACGTTCCTACAAATAGGAAAAATTCCAAAAGATGGACCTTCCATCCCTGGTCAACTAAAAAAGTCAAAGATAGTATCAAACACAAAGAAAATACATAATTCTGCAAAGAAAAGTGGCAGGTCAGAGGATTGGACAGAATATCAAAAAAAAAGTAAAGAATTACTAAAAGATTAATCAAGGAGGGAAAAATTAGAGTATGACAGAAGGTTAGCCAAAAATATAAAAATAGATAGGAAATGTATCTTCAAATATATTTTTTTTAAATTAATAAAGCAAATGTCTGTTCTATGGAAAATGAGTTGGGGAATTAGTAATGGAGGTTAAACAGATAGGAGATAGATGCATAGTCACAGAACTGTACAACATGGAGATAGACTCTTCAGTCCAACTTGTCCATGCCGACCAGATATCTGAAATAAATCTATTCCCATTTGACAGCATTTGGCCCCTATCCCTCCAAAGCCTTCCTATTCATATAAAAGCCTTTTAAGTGTTGTAATTGTACCACCCCGCCACCACTTCCTGTGGCAGCTCATTCCATATACGCACCACAATCTACATGAAAAAGTTGCCCCTTAAGTATCTTTTAAATCTTTCCCCTTTCACCTTAAACATATGCCCTATAGTTTTGGAATCACCCATCCCGGGGAAAAGACCTTGTCTTTTCACGCTATCCATGCCCCTCATGATTTTATAAATCTCTATAACATTACCTCTCAGCCTCTGAAGCTTTAGGGAAAATAGCCCAGTCTATTCAGCCTCTCCCTATAGCTCAAACCCTACAACCCTGGCAACATCCTTGTAAATCTTTTCTGAACCCTTTCAAGTTTCACAACATCCTTCCTATAGCAGGGAGACCAGAATTGAATGCAGTATTCCAAAAGTGGCCTAACCGAAGTCCTGTACAACCGCAACATGACCTCCCAACTCCCATGCTCAATGCACTGACCAATTAAAGGCAAGCATACTGAACGCCTTCTTCACTATCCTGTCTACCTGGGACTCCACTTTCAAGGACAATGAACCTCCACCTCAGGGTCTCTTTGTTCAGCAACACGCCCCAGGACCTTACCATTAAGTGTATAAGTCCTGCCCCGATTGGCCTTTCCAAAATGCAGCGCCTAACATTTGTCCAAATTAAACTCCATCTGCTATTCCTCAGCCCGTTGGCCCATCTGATCGAGGTCCCATTGTATTGAGGTAAACCTTCTTCTCTGTCCACTACACCTCTAATTTTGGTGCTAACTGCAAATTATTAACCATGCTTCCTATGTTCACATCCGAATCAGTGATATCAATGACGAAAAGCAGTGGAACCAGCACTGATCCTTGTGGCACATCGCTGGTCACAGGCCTCCAGTCTGAAAAGCAACCCTCCACCACCACCCTCTGTCTTCTGCCTTCAAGTCACTAGACAGGATACAAGTAACATCCTGGAAAATATCTGTAAATCAGGATTTGAAAGGGAGGGAGGAATTCAAGAAAATGTCCATTGCCAGGGAAGTAGTACTGAGTAAACTGTTGGAACTGCAAGTTAACAAGTTCCTGGTATCAATGGATTTCGTCCTATGGCTCTCTGAAGAAGTAGGTAATGAGATGGTTTATGTGTTGGTTTTGATTTTCCGAAACTAATTAGATTTGGGGAAGGTTCCTTTAGATTGTAAAATAGCTAATTTAATTCCTTTATTCAAAAAGGGAGGGAGGCAGAAAACAAGAAACCACAACCCAGTTTGTTTAACAACTGTCATTGCGGAAATTTTAGACGCTATTATTAAAAACATTGTAACAGGGCACATAGATAAGGTCAAGGTAATCAGACAGAGCCAACATGATTTGGTCAAAGGGAACTCTTGTATAACTAATTTATTGGCGTTATAGACGCACAGAATCATAGTCATACAGCAGGAAAGAGACAATTCGGTCCAACTAGTCCATGCCGACAATGTTCCCAAAGCAGTCCCATCTGCATACGAGATAACAAGGTGTCGAGCTGGATGAACACAGCAGGCCAAGCAGCATCAGAGGAGCAGGAAGGCTGACGTTTCGGGCCTAGACCCTTCTTCCTTTTTCTGAATGTAGACATTGTCATGGTTGGGGCCAAATTGGGAAGGCCTGAATGTGGACTGTAGTCCATTGGGGATGATCTGGTTCCTTAGGCAGGTACTAAGAAAGGTGATGTGGCTGTAGTACCTGGTTTGCTTCAGGACGTGATCGAGCAGTTTCAAGGCCAAAGAGATTACGAGTGAGCTGCAGTGGGAGAGAGATCCACTGAGGTTTTTCCGGAGGGAGAAGGGTAACTTCTTCAGGGTAGGAATCCTTAGAAGAGGCTTCACAGTGGGGTTAAAATTGTTTCAGAGATAGTAGGAACTGCAGATGCTGGACAATCTGAGATAACAAGGTGTAGAGCTGGATGAACACAGCAGGCCAAGCAGCATCAGAGGAGCAGGAAAGCTGACGTTTCGGGCCTAGACCCTGGTTTGGCCAAATCCCTCCAAATCTTTCCTATTCATTTATTTATCCAAATGTCTTTTAAATGTTGGAAATGTACCTATATCCACCACTTTCTCAGGCAGTTCATTCCATATGTGTACCACACTGTGCTTTTAAAAAAAAATGCCCCTCATGTCCTTTTAAAAATGTTCTCCTCTCACATTAAAAATAAGGTCCCTAGTTGTGATCTTCCCCATTTGTAGGAAAAGATCCTTGCTATTCACCTTATCTATGCCCCTCGTGATTTTAGAAACCTCTATAAGGTCACCTCTCAATTTCCTATGCTCCAGTCTACTTTTATAACTCAAAGCTTCCATTCCTGGCAAAATTCTAGTAAATCTTTTCTAAACCCTGTCCAATTTAATAATATCTTTCCTATAGCAAGGCGACCAGAACTGCACAGTGCACCAGGAGAGGCCTCACCAACGTCCTGTACAACCTCAATATTACATCCCAACTCCTATACTCAAAGGTCTGAGCAATGAAGGCAAGTGTGCTCAATGCCTTCTTAACCACCCTTCCTACCTGTGATGCAAATTTCAAAGAACTGTGTACCTGAATCCCTTGGTCTCTCTTTTCTACAACTCTACCGAAGGCACTACCATTAATTAGACAAGTCCTGCCCTTGTTGGTTTTGCTGAAATGCAATACTTGCATTTATCCAAATTACACTCCATCTGCCACTCCTCAGCTCATTGACCCAATTGATCAAGATCTCTATGTAATCTTAGATAACCTTATTCACTGTTCACTATACCACCAATTTTGGTGTCATCCACAAACTGACTAACAATGCCTCCTGTATTCTTATCCAAATCATTCATATAAATGACAAACAAAAGAGGACCCAGTACCGATCTCTGTGGAACATGACTGGTCACAGACCTCCAATCCGAAAAACAACCCAGTTTAACTGGGACAAGGCAACCATAGTAGCCCAAGCGAAACATAGACATGCACAGGAATTCCTAGAGGCATGATTCTCCACCTGTAATGCAATCAACGAACATACAGAATTGGACCCCGAATACAAACCCGTACAGATCAAAACCAGAAATGACACTACTCGCCATAATGGACCAGACAGTATAAATTCAAGTGGAGTAGAATAACATCGCTTCATCGGAGGCTCCACTGATGATGTCACCTAGCATGGTGACAAAACGTCTGAACGAGAACAAGCCAGCTCGGCGAGCAAGTCAACAACCTGACTCTGACCTCAATCTTTTGGTTACTTCCTCAAAAAAACCTGAATCAAATTTGTGAGACACCATTTCCCACACACAGATCCATGCTGATTATCCCCAATCAGTCCTTGCCTCTCCAAATGCATATAAATCCTATCTTTCAGAATCACCTCCAACAACCACCACTGAAGTCAGACTCACAGGTCTATAATTCCCAGACTTTTCCTTACAGCCTTTCTTAAATAAAGGCATAACATTAGCCATCCTCCAGTTGTCCAGCACCTCACCCATGGTTATAGATGATACAAACATTTCTGCTGGGGGCCCGGCAATTTCTTCCCTAACTTCCCACAATGTCTTGGGATACACTTGATGAAGTCCCAGCGAGTTGTCTACCTTTATGTTTTCTAAAACCTCCAGCTCTTCCTCTTCTATAATGTGAACTGTTTTCAAGACATCAATATTTATTTCCCTGAGTTCTCTAGCCCCTATTTCTTTCTCCACAGTAAAAAAAGTCATGAAATATTAATTTAGTGTGTCTCCCATCTCCTGAGATACAACAGATAGATGACCTCGTTGATTTTGAAGGGGCCCTATTCTCTCTCTAGTTGCTCTTTTCTTCTTAATGTGCTTGTAGAATCTCTTTGGATTATCTTTAACCTTATCTACCAAGGCTATCTCTTTGCCCTTCTCTGCCCTCCTGATTTCCTTCCTAAGAATGCCTCTACATTCTTTATACTCTTAAATAAATTCATTTGATCTCAGTTGTCTACATCTACTGTATGATTCTTTTTTATTCTTGACTTTTGTTCCCTATTCCTACCCTCACCAGCCTTACCCTTCACTTTAACAGGAACATAAAGCCTCTGAACTCTCGTTATCACACTTTTGAAAGCCTCTCACTTGTCTGTTGTTCTTTTACTTGTGAAGTCAATTCCAATAAACTTTTGAAAGTTCTTGTCTAATACCATTAAAATTTGCCTTACTTCAATTAAGAACTTTAACTTTTATGGAACACTTATCCTTTTCCGTAACTATTTTAAAACTAATAGAATTATGATCACAGGCCCCAAACTGTGCACCTACTAACACTTTAGTCACTTGCCCTGCCTTATTTCCAAAGAGAAGGTCAAGTTTCACTCCTTCTCTAGTAGGTACATTTAAATTAAGAAAATTTTCTTAATCACATTTAAACCCTTAACACTGTGGCTGTCCCAGTCAATGTTTATTAAAATCCCTTCCTACTACAACCCTGTTATTCTTACATATATCTGAGCTCTCTCTACATAGTTGTTCCTCAATTTCCCTCTGATTATTGGGAGGCTTATAGTACATTCCCATCGAGGTGATCAGCCCTTTCTTATTTCCAAGTTCTACCCCTATACCTTCACTGGACGATCCTTCAGAAATATCCCCTCTACTTACAGCATTAATGTTTTCCATAATCAAAAACACCCCTGCCACCTTGTTTCTTGCCTCCCTTTCTATCCTTCCTATTAGCATCTAAAACCTGGAACACTAAGCTGCCAGTCCTGTCCTTCCCTCAACCAAGTTTCTGTAATAGCTATGATGTCCCAGTCTCTTGTTCCCATGCATGCCCTGAGTTCATCATCCTTACCTGCAAGACCCCTTGCATTGAAATAAATGCAGTTTCATTCTTCAGAGTTACTGTATTCTCTGACTGGCTCTTATCTGCCTTTTACTAATTAGATTGTTATTTTCCAATTCAGAGCCACCTTCATCTGTCTTTCTATTTTTACTGTTACTTAGGAACCCCTCACACCCCCTCTTTACTAGTTTAAAGTTCTTTAAAGAAGTAACTTGTAATATGGATAAAGAGAAACCAATGAATGTATTGTACTTAAATTTCCAGAAAACGTTTTATACGGTGCCACATCAAAAGTTGTTGTGGAAAATTAAAGCTCGAAGCGTTGTGGATGACATTTTGGCACAGCTAACCCGAAGCAGAGAGGACGAATAAATGGGCCTTTTCAGGCTCTTGTGAGTGTATGCCACAGGAGTTGGTGATGGGGCCTCAACTCTTTACAATTTATATAAAATGATTTGGATGAAGCAGGCAAAGTTTTAATGCCTAATTTGCTGATGAAACAGAGATAGGTAGGAAAGTGAGTTGTAAAGAGGACATGAGCATCCTGCAAAGGGATATAGGTAGGTTAAATGAGTGGACATAAATCTGCCAAATGAAGTATAATGTGGGAAAATGCGGAATTGTCTGTTGCAGCAGAAAAAAATTAAAAGAAGCATATTATCTAAATGGTGAGTGGTTGCAGAGCTCTGGGCTGTAAAAGAATTTAGGTATCCTTATGCAGGAATTGCAGAAGGTTAGCATGGAGTGCAGCAAGTAATCAGGAAAGTTTTAGATTATTTTATTTTCAGGTGAATTGAATTCAAGAATGAGGTATTATGCTTCAGTCATACAGGGCATTGGTGAGACTACATCTAGAGTAGTATGTACAGTACTGGTCACTGTAATTAGAGAAGGATGTTAATACATTAGAAGCAGTTCAGGGAATGTTTACTAGACTAATACCTGGAATTAGTGGATGGCTTGATGAGGAAAGGCTAGGCATGTATCCTCTTAACTTCAGAAGAGTCAAAGGTGCCTTAATTGAAACATATCAGATCCTGAAGGGGCTTAATAGATGGATGTGGTAAGGATGTTTCTTTTTGGAGCATAATCTAGAACTACAGGTTATAGCTTAAAAATAAGGGTTCACCCATTTAAGACAGAGAGCAGGAAAAAAGATTCAGTCAGAGATTGAGTGTCTTTGGAATTTTCTTCATCAAAAGGCAATGGATATAGAATTGTTTAAGGCAGAGGTAGATAGATTCTTGATTACCAACTAGATGAAAGTTTATTGGAGGATGCAGGAATGTAGAGTTCAGGATAAAATCAAATCAGCCTTGATCTGATTGAATGGCAGAGCAGACTCGAAGGGCCGAGTGGCCTAATCTTGTTCTTTGTTTCTATATAACATAACAATTTATTGATTAATGTAACTTCTATTTTCAGCAACTGTCTCCTTTAAGACATTATTGGTAATATCAATTTCTTTCATACTTTTTATCCTTTAAGTCTAATTTTCACTTCCTCCCCTTACCTTTGAATGCCTCAGAAGTGCTCTTGCCATGCAAAGTAACTGACGTTCTCCAACAGAAAAGTTTTCCCCATTTTCAATTACCTCAGAATCCAGTTTCTTTGGAAGTTTTGAAATCTTCAAAAAAAATGAATGTTTCAAAATGACCAAGTAACATTATATTCTTCCTTTGATAGTTGTGTTTCTTTTATAAAAGTTCAAAAACAATCTTTAACCAGTCTGTATAAGAGAATGTAACCAGTGCCTTTCTTGCTGTTGATTGTAAGAATTGTAGTGATCGAAGCCCTAAAATAAGCATTTTCATAGACAGAGGGCTGATTTTTTTTTTCCCAGCTTTTCAAGTTGGACTGCAACCTGGGAGGGCTGGCCATATATCTCAGAGGAAAGTGTCGGGAAAGGAAAACAATGTTTGCCAGTGGGGAGAAACATGTCAGCATGTCTATCCATCAGGCAGCCAATCAAGTCACGTAAGTGGCAATCAAGAGCTATCTTCCCTCCCTCATCAGGAGGGCTGGGGCTGCTAGGGTAGACCAACAGGTAAATTCTGGCATCCTCCTAATGAGTTGTGTAGGGATGGAGCATCCCACTGTCTGCAGATCGGGCCCCCTGGTCGTAATATTTGCCCCACAGCTTCTTACATTGTGCACAGCAATCTACCGCTCCTCCCTGATTGCCAGGTCTGTCTGCCTGCCGAGATTCCCCAAGATCCTCACCTTCTTTCAGGAGCAGCTGGTGATTGAGGCTCTTTCAATTGGTCAGTGGCAGCCTCTCCTTTGGCTCCCGAGCAAAATACTGTACTCAAGTTCCACCATCTCCTATCCCATTTACCAAAGCCATAGGACTTTAAATTTCTTCTTGAATTCGACACTTAGTCTTTTGTATCTCAAAACCGTTATTTTATAATAGGACCCACCTAATATATAGCTTTATAGTTTAGCAGCTAGCATTTTATTAATTCTTTGTGTGCAGCGTGGGCTGGTGATCTTTCAGTGTTCTGATCACTGGTTAATATTGCTTCTAGAGTTGTGTTGACCAAAGTTAATTGTTTTTTGTTTGGTTGCTGGGAGAACAGATTGTCACTTACAGTCTTGGTACATCTCATGACCAATCCTTCAGCAGTCTGTTTCTTCTAAAATAAATGCATTCATTAGAAGGTTATATTATTCTTTTGAGGGCTCATTCATTGTGAAGGTCAAGTTTTTATTTTGGTACAAAGAAACAGATGATACAGCAAAATGAACATTCCATCATAAAGTGAATTTAAAGCACAATCCTGTACAAGCTGCTCTGATTGTCATTAGATTGTAAAATAACATCTAAGGTGCTGTCTGAACTGAAGTAAACAGTGGAGGAAATATTGGATAAGACCCAAAATGAGTGCTGGGAAGTGTTGGGAATGTAAAATTCACTTAACATTAGCTGCCTGCTCATTTACATGATTGCAATATGCAGCTAACACTGAGTGCACTGTTGATTAACTAGCTTCCTGAGTAGCTGATGCACAAAATCCTAAGAGACTGGCATGCATTCAATCTAGCTTGAACTACTTAAAGGAATCCAACTCCTTTTGAAGGGGAAATATGTTTTGCCTCAAAAAGATGATGAATTGATCATGTAAGTTTTGACCTTGGAGAGTCATGATTAATGAATACAGCCCTGTAATATTAATGCAGGAGGAAGGATTCCCCTATCCATGGAGGTCTAGAAGCCCCTCCATCTTCAAATCTCATATTGCAACAATTGTTTCATTAATCCCATTCACTGTTCAGTGTACCACACCCACATCCTCACTCACCAATTTCCATCAATTACGACTTAAGGCTGACATTCATAGCTTCCCCTGGTCCTTGCACTGTTAGTACTGCTACAAGACTCACAGCCATAACTGACAACTATTCAGCTATGATAGTCACCCAATCTGGTTGCATCTCGCTTGCTGATATATTTTCCTCTCTCTTACAGCATAGCCAAAGGCAGCAGCAGCAGCAAACAGAGTAAGGCAGGCACTGCCAAATGTCCTCACCTTGACAGAGGTGGGAGCATTGCTGGCCATTATTGGGGTGGCCACTACGGGTTAGATTGAATGGATCAAAGATGACAGTGTGCTCTTACCTACCCTTCCTTCTCACATCCCACTTACCGCTCAATTCACAATCTCTTCAGATTTCCATGCTGCAAATTCTCTAAGTTTGCACCTTTCTTTTCTGCCACCCTATTGCTCTATTGTTTTTTTCGCTGGTCAGACAGTGGTGCAGGAGAGTGAAGAAAGGAGAAGTTGTTGTTAATGAAGTATTGTCCGCAGCACACACTTATAGCTGTTGGGTTCAGATAGTAAAACTGTCCATGCTTTAGAGGGTAGCTTAGACATAAAATATGCTCATGGTGAGTCACCAGACATGAGGGCCCTGCAGCCAGCAAAGGAAATGGTTCCATTGGTGGAGAAGCAGAGAGTGCTTTGGAACTCAGATGAGGACTTCAGTCAAGTAGAATATGAGAAAAGGATGGTGGGAATGGGCACAATGCTGAATGCACTGGGAGGACTGTCAGAAAGTTACTAACAAAAAGTGTGGACAAGTCCGGCAAAGTCTTGGCACACAGCTACATGAGGGTCTTGAAGTCCATCCTTTCTAGGGTGGAAATGGTGACCAATTCTATAACAACATTGTAGTACCACCCGTGATTGTAGCATGTTATAACTGATGTCCCAGCTTCCATTGCAGTACAGAGGCTAGCAAAAATCTGGCAGCTACTGATGTCAAACTTTTAAATTCAGTGGATCCTACAGTAATTTGATGATCAACTCTTCAAGGCTATCAGGATTGCCAAAGTATCTCCCTAGGTGAGGGAAAAAGGCATGACTTTGTGGAACACAGACCTGCCATCCTCTCTCTCTCTCTGGATGACAGCATTCATTCTGCTCCCACTGCCACTCTGCAATTGTGTTGCTCATTGGCTAATTGGTCCAGACTGAAGCAGTGCAGTCTGAAGTTTGGGCCCTCTAGGGCAAAGCTGCTCAAGGTCATCTGCAGTCTTGTCCTCTGAATGTCGGAAGCCTTCTACCAGCAACTCGGCTGCCATTGCCAAGGGAAAGTGCAAGGTTATTTACTTTTGTATTATTAAAAAGAAGACATTTTGTCAAAGATTTTCATCTTGCACTCATCAGGAAAAATACCAAAGAGAAGGGAAATAACACTCATACAAAATAAGACAAGAGTTCAAATTGGTAGTGATGTTGCTATGAAGAATGCACCAGTTAATGATGATTGACAGTTAAGTGCCAATCTTTGTTTAAGTTTTAAACCAGGCAGGAGGTCTTTGGTTCGTCAAGATATTATCCTGAATGACTGTCACTTATTTTGTAATGTTGAAAGAGGCATAGTGTATGCACGTGTTCTGTCTGCAAAGTACAGGTCCTGCATATTAATGTGTAGCTTTCAATACACAAAACAGCACCACACTGTGAGCCCAACTGACAATCTTAAATTGGAAACAAAAACAAAAATTGCTGGAAAAGCTCAGCAGGTCTGGCAGCATGTGTGAAGCGAAATCAGGGTTGACATTTTGCATCCAGTGACCCTTCCTCAGAACTGGTCTCTGGACCGGAAACATTAACTGATTTCTTTCCATGGATGCTGCCAGGCCTGCTGAGCTTTTCCAGCAATTTCTGGTTTTGTTTCTGATTTACAGCTTCCACAGTTCTTTCGCTTTTAGTCTTAAATTGGTTATCAGTGTAATTTTTAGCATACTCAGAATTATCCAGCAAATTATTTCCAATCATAGAATCACATCTAATGTTGGGTATGGTGTTGTAAGTTTTGCAAGCACGAGCTGGTTGTGTGAGATCAGTACCTTGCTTGTTATGAAAAGTTATATGACAGTCTTTGAGATTCATGTTCTACATACCTGATGTCACACCAATACTGAAATTCATGGAACCATGTTTCTCATTTGTGTGATATGTAAAATATGTTTTTGTTTAATGCAACGTCCTATTGATGTCAAATGCTATTCATGTTGCTATGGCATAGATGCAGCTTGAAACAGTTAGCTTCACTTTTTCCTCAAATGTTTCACAGTCTAGGGTAATCCAAGGTAAATTGGCCACTCATTAGTATCTTGTCAATGAGTTTGCCCCATCTGCAGTGAGAAATGCTCTAATCAGGTGTATAGGATTATGAGGGGCAAGGACAGGATGGATAGAAAATAGCTTTTCCCCTTAGTTGAAGGGTCAATAATAATGGGACATAATTTTAAAGTAAACAGCAAAAAGTTTAGTGGGATTCGAGGAAATGTTCTTTTCACCCAGAGCGTGGTAGGAATCTGGAATGCACTGCCTGGGAGGGTAGAAGAAACAGGAAACCTCACAACCTTTAAAAAATACATGGATGAGCACTTGAAATGTCACAACATTCAAGGCTATGGATCAAGTGCTGGAAAGTGCGTGTTGAGTAGATAGGTGATTTTATTTTGGTCAATGCAGACTTGATGAGCCAAAGGGCCTTTTCTCTACTATTTGACTCAATGGCTATGAATCTAGGGTAGCCATTATCCTGAAGGATGACTCAGATGTGCCCTATTTCAGCATTAAGCTTACACAGTGAATAAAAGGCTGGAATCAATTTGCAAGGTCACCAATAGGTTAATCGTATAGACTATGGAATACTGGATGCTTTATTTGATAAAATTGATTTGGAACGTTTGGGCTGATTTTTATTTTAGAATTTTGGTCAAGTGGACTCTTTTTGATGGTCAATATCAAAGCAAAGATGGGTAACTGTTAATTGAATGGAGAATTGAAGTTGTATTCATACAGTCAAATGAGCTGACCATGGACAGCCCAGTCAGAAAAGGGGTGATTGATTGCCTCTACCCTTCTTCTTCCTCCTCTCCCTCCTCTATTCCTTGTTGTACATCCGGTGGCAATAACTAAGTAACATTTACATCACTCAAATTCCAGGCAATGATTACCTTCAACAGAGAATCTAATCATCGCCCTTGGCATTTAATGACGTCATTATCACTGAATTCCCCACTATCAACATTCTAGGGGTTACCATTGGCCAGAAATTGAACTGAACTAATCACATAAGTACTGAGACAACAAAAGCAGGCTAGAAGCTAGGAATTTTGCTCCAAACACCCCAAAGTCTGTCCATCATCAAGAAGGCACAAGTCAGGAGTATGATGAAATATTCCCCATGTGCCTGGATGATTGCAACTCCAACAACACCCAAGAAGCTTGACACCATCCAAGTCAAAGCAAAGCACACTGCTGGATTTGCACCACATCAACAAACATTCATTACCCCAACAACCGACATTCAGTAGTAGCAACATGTATCATGTGGGAGATGTTCTGCAGAAATTCACCAAGGCTCCTTAGGTAGATTCTTTCAAACCTATGACTGCCACCATCAGGGTAGGCAAGGGCAGCAGATACATGGGAACGCCACGACTGGCAATCTCCCCTCCAAATCACTCTCCATCCTGACTTGGAAATATATTGGCATCCTTTCAGTATCACTCGGTCAAAACTGTGATACTCCCTCCCTGACAGCATTGTGGGTGTACCTACACTAATTGGATTGCAGTGGTTCGAGGAGGCAGCTCACTACCACCTTCTCAAGGACTACAAGGGATGAGCAACAAATTCTGGCCAGCCAGCAATGCCCATATCCTGTGAATGAATTTAAAAAACATGATGGCAAGATTATACAAGGTGCAGCAAACTACGGACAGATCATAATACGTGCATTGAGACAGTACTGCAGAGTTCCTCCAGAATGGTCAGAAAATATTGCTTACACTCCCTTTATAAGCAAACTGTCCGCCTCTGGTTGGGTTGCACATTGGAGACAAGAGCCAAGGGACCAGTAGGTATCCCTGGACATTCCGTGGCTGTTGTGGAACTATTTCTGAATTTAAACATGTCATAACATTTGTGGCATTTTGCACAATGGGAAAGCCACTATCCTAGTGAAGTTATTTGCACATGTTGTCTGCTTTTTTTCTGGAAAGATAGAATAAAATGTACTCTCCTCTGTTGGCATACAAAGCATTAGTAGCCTGCTTCTACAGCAGTTGGGTAGCATTCTAGAGATTCCATCCACTCCAGCCTGGACGGATTCCAATGCAAAGACATTTAGTGACAAGTGTCATCTTCATAGCCATTGACAACATCATTCTTGCCCTGCTCTGAGGCTGCTGGTCTGTTTGTTACAGGTGACAGATTTCAGTAAGCACTTCCTTTGTAAACCTGAGACATTGCACACACTGTTCTTTGTTCAGGTTGAGGTCAGAGAATTGTATCCTGAAAACCCTGAGAACCCTCCACCTCCTACTCCCCCCATTTGTCTTCCATTGCACTGCCACTGATGAATCATTCTCATGCTACAGAGCAAGGGGGAATGGTAGCATCCATGACCAGGAGAAAGTGATGCGAGCAGAGCTCTTGAATCCAGAACCAAAGCTTTCCCCAGCTGCCACATCAGTGCCTGCAGACTTCACTAACAATTTTTAGGAATCAATCAGCAACAACTCTAAAATGATTTGATTTTAATAGTGCAAGTGAATAGGCCATGCCTGCTATTAAACATATTCAACTGTGCAAAGTTAAGAAAGGACATTAGCTGGAGAATTCAAGTTTAAAATGGCATCATTAGGGCCAAATTAAGATCTGCCCAATTTGTATACTTCCAGCACATATTCTCTTTAATGAAATGATGTATGGTGTGACCTACAGCAGAAGTGTGCACATCCAGTGTGAATGCCTTTTTCTATCAAAAAAAGATACAGTTTGTTATGACTAACAGTAAATAAATAAAAGTATTATCTGGAACATCTGCTGAAATAAGCTATAAATTCACACTTGCTAATGTTTTGGAAAACGCTTTTGAGCCACTAACCATTATGGAAACTTCAGAATTTTGTTGAATCTATAAAAACAGTTATACATAGTTCATAGAGGAGCATCGGAGTATAATCTCATGATTTATTAATATTAATGAGCATAATTTTGAGTTGTGTTAAACATACCATATCCTTCATATAGGTCCTCTCGAGGGCTTCCCAAATTGCATCGTCTTTGTAATTCCAAAAAGGGTCTAAGTTGTACCTTTGGAAAGGTACAGAATTTAGTTAATGGGAGATGAATTCAATTCAATATATATACAAATGACTATTGAACTGAAGTAAGGTACTATTTTATATAAAAGAGACAAATTGTTGATCCATAAGACCATAAGAAATAGGAACAAGAGTAGGCTGTTTGGCCCCTCGAGCCTGCTCAATCATTCAATAGGATCACAGCTGATCAACATTCCTCATATCCACATTCCTGCCTTTTCCCCAAAACCCTTGATTCAAGGATCTATCTCTCTCAGCGTTAGATACACACAAGAACTCTATCCCCATAGCTCTCTGTGGAAAGGAATTCCAAAGACTCTCAACCCTCTGAAGGAGGAAATTCCTTCTTTTTTCAGTCTTAATTTGGCACCGCTTCATTCTGTGACTATGCCCTCTACTCCTAGAATGTTCCATGAAACAACATCTCAGCTTTTGCCCTGTTAAGCCCCTCAAGAATCCTATATGTTTCAATATGATCACCTCTCATTCTTCTAAAGCCCAATGAGTAGAGACCCAACCTGTTCTACTCTTCTTCATAAGATAATCCCTCCCTACCAGGATCATCCAAGTGAATTCTCTGAACAGCCTCCAATGAAATAATAATCTTTCATTAAGCAAGGGGACCAAAACTGCTCGCAGTACTTTTACAGTTGCAGGAAAATTACAACCAATGCATACACCAGCTCTGTAGCTATCTCTTTTAGGATGATAGGATGCAGGCCATCAGAATTAGGGAACTTGTTTGTCTTTAGCCCTATTGATTTGTATAATACTACTTCTTCAGTGATGGAGATGTACTTAATCCCTCCCCTGTATTTTTTAGCATTTATGAAATGTTCAAAGTATCTTCCATTATAAGATTAATCAGGATATTAAATACCACAGAAACTTTAACAGTGCAAGATTTAAACAAGTGTTACAGTAAAGCACTCATACAGAATAGTATGAATACATGTGGGCAATGCTATTAATAACATATCCCATTGAATCAACCAATAAGATACAACCTCCAGCTTTCTGAAGAGTCATTATCAGATATACAAAACCTGCAATATTTCATATTTAGCCAATATTCTCTGATTAGACATTACAATCCAATTTGTGAAGTTGAACATTAACAACAATGGATGAAGGTTATCATACTTCTGGTTCCATGACAAAAGGAAAAGGAAATAAATAGCACAATGACTTTGACTAAGTGTTTTTTTGTTTCTGTTGTGATTATCTCTGGGCCAGCAGGCCTGTGTTCAAGTCCCAGCTGCTCCAGATATGTGTTGATTAAAACATTTATGTGGTGTTCACAGCTTTGATACTGAAACAAGCCTCTTGCAAAGTAAAGCCGATGGCCTATCATGATGTCAGTGAGTCAGTTTTCATTTCATGTGAATTGTCTACTAAAAAGTAGCAGTACACTGACTTTATAATAAATAAGCATTTTTGTTGACTGAATTATGATTGCATGGTAAATATTTTCTACTTTCTTGTTCTTAAATTGCATTGTATTTTTATTGTTCTTTCATGGGATAGGGGCATCACTGGCCAGCACTTTTAGTGTATTCCTAATTTCTCTTGAGAAGGGTGAACCACCTACCCCTTCTTGAATCCTTGCAGTCCATCAGATGTGCACTACAAATAGCAAGTGTGTAGTTATGTAACTCATGAGAAGGTGCCAAATGCAGATCGCAAGCTTTTCTATGGGATGGAACACAAACAAAAATCCTGCAGTTGACTTACTTGCACACCTCCACCCCATCTGGTTGTAGGTAGTACGTGTAGAAACCCAAATACAAATCTCTGCACATTCAAAGGCTGTGCAGCGTGTAGCAAAGATCTCAATATAGGAACTACTCAGTAAATTAAAAATAAAACAATATTGTACCATGTCAACCACATCTGGTAATAATTGGGGGATATATGAAGAGTTCCTACCTCACCGTACCAACAAATAGAACTGGGTCCTGTGGAATCACTGAAAGTTTACTTCTCAGGTCTTCCAAAGCAAGAGTGCAAATATCGACATTATCAATCAGGATGGTCCCAGCAACCGGTTCAACTAGCCTGAATAATGCAACACTCAGTGACGACTTTCCTACAGCAAGAAATTGTTAATGTTTTAGACGTTTGTATGTTATCTAAGTGTAAGAATGTAGGTTCCTATTTTTTACCTACATCTTGCTCCTTCATGAAATCATCTAAAAATTTAGCATTGGTTTCTACAATTAGCTCAGCCATCCCTCTGTTACGTCTGTATTTTTCTTTACCGATGCACGCCTAGCCTCCCTTTTGTGCTCTATCCTTTGTAAAGCTGAGGGCATTCAAAATTTTTCTGCCCGTGTCCTAACTCTCAACTCACAGCATTCACCCTGTGTAGATGATCAACCCTGGCTCCCAGAAAGGTGAAATGATTTAATTTTCCTTCCTTTCAAAATCTTTGTTCCTCCCTAAAATTTCTTTTAGCTGACAATCCTCTGAGTTATTTGCATTGACATCATTCTGGTCTCTTGAGCATCCTCGATTTTAATCATTCTGTAATTGGCAGCATTCCTTCTGCTGCCAAAGCCCCAAGCTCTAGAATTCCCTCCCTAAAACTTTTAGTCTCTCTTTGCCTTGTTCCTTTAGCACACTTGTAAATGTATCTCTTTTAGTCATGAGCCCAAATACCATTTTTATGGCCACATGTTAAACTTTATCAGAGAACAAATCTCTGCAATATTTTACACTATGAAAAATGCTGTATGAATACAAAAGAAACCAAGATTTCAGGAAGGAAAAATACTCACATTATAGTATCTTTCACAAGCCTACAATATCTTAAAGTGCTACAGACAATTGTGTGTTTTCAAAGTCTAGTTATTGTGATTACATTGGAAACACAGCAGCCAGTATATTAATAACAAAACTTCAACCTCCATGTAATAATGACCAGATGATCCATTTTCTTTGAAAGATGTTGGTTGAAAGATAAATATAGGCTAGGACACTGGAGTAAGTTGCCTGCTCTATTATGAAATAACACCATGGGTTTTTTTATGTCCACCTAAGAGGCAAATTATTTAGCATTTTGTAAACTGTACCCTTTTGAACCAGTACTATTTCATGTGACCTCTCATGCTAGGAATCTTCTCCAGTCTTGCTCTTCTTTGGGAGCTCACAGATGATATGGGTGTCAGAATCTGGGCAATGATACTGTAACTTTATTTCTAATCCGTATTTCCTCTTAAAAGTACTTCTAACAAGAAGCACAGGACCAGGAAATTATCCTTTCAAATCCTTATCAGAAATGTGGTGGATTTCCCACATATTCAGATTGATGCAAAGGAAAGGATTAGTTCCTTGTGTTATCCCTGTCAACCAAAAAAGCCTCGATGCCTGTTTCAGATGGTAGTTTTTAAATTGGTAACCTTTTACTCCCACTCTCTCCTGATCTGCCATAATCCAGCCCCTCCACCACCCAACACCAGACCCATATTTCTCTTAAATTAATGATATATCTTTATAGGTGTCAAGCACAAGGCAATTTAGTGTTGCTGTATGCTATTCTTGTTTCTGCAGCTTTGATCCAACCCAAGGCATTGCTGGAGTCATAATAATGTATGGAGCTATATGTATTGTTGGAGACACAGTCACTGGTTTGTGAATATTTGTCATGGGCTTTTACTTATACCTTGGCCACACCGCTATGACAACCTTTATTATCTACTCTGATAGTGATGTTAATTATATTGTAAAGATTGAATACTATGATACAGAATATATTTATGATGATAAGTTTCTTTTCTGTCCTATTAGCTTAGGTCACTCCACTAAATTGACAACATTAAATCATTTTATTTATTTATAAACTTGTAACCATTTTCAGTTTGGTTCTCTTTCTTCTTAAAAGAAATATTTTGGATTTGTAAGAATCTGAGTTTTGACAAGCCAGAAATGTGGGCAAAGCCAACACTGGGAGCTATGTGCTTCTGTTTTCAAAATATTCAGACCGAATCAACTAGGGAGAAAAGGGATTCCATTACAGGAATAAAATGTAGGGATAATGGAAGATATGTTGCTAAGTGTAAATCCATTTGTAAAAAGCTATAGAATAGAAAGGGAACTGCTACTGTATTTGGAGAAAAATAGAGAGTCTATAACACAGCAAAGTAAATAAGGATACACATATAAAGATGAATGAGAGCAAAACTGCAGGGGTATTGGGATAATAATGTGATATGATCTAACTTTGTATAATTCACATCATTCATGTGGTGAAATACGAATTCTACAATATACCTAAAACTCTCTTCTGCAATAGAATATTTTTAGACAAGCAAGGACTGAAGCAGTTCCAGAACTAGTCCAAGAATTAAAATGAGTCATTGAAGTAATGAAAGATGAACACAAAGAAATAAAAATGCCGGAATTTTAAAACAAAAGCAGAGTGCAGGAGAAACAACAGATCTGGCAGTGTTTGTAGAGAGAAAGCGGTGTTATAGTATTTTGTGCTTAGTGTATTATAATCGTTTGAGTCAGTTCATTTGGAGGATCACTGGACTCGAGCATTAACTATGTTTTCTCTATTTGGACACTACCAGACCTACTATGTATCTCCAACACTTTGTTTTTATGAACAAGGGAAAATATTGGTAAACATGTGGCAAACTATGGCTGCAATATAATGATATGCTACTGTTTCTTATATAACAGCTTTTTGTTATAAATTTTGACTAAACAGGGCATTTATTTTGCTAGATCATTTTCAATGCATTCCACTGTCATATCCAGGGTAGTTTTCTTTTAATCTCTTACCTGATCCTGTTCTTCCAACAATTCCAATTTTCTCCTGAGCTTCTATATTTAAATGCAACCCTTTTAAAACTATTGGAGTATTTTCTCTGTATTTCATTTCATAGTTCTTAAATATGATTGCACCTTGATTAGGCCATTCCTTGGATACTGTTGCATTTTTAATATGACATGGGGCTTCTGAAACACAAGTCTAACAGAAATATATAATTTTAATTAACAGTGAAACAGATGTACTCTAGTGAATTTGGGTCGAAAATGTTTGTGTCTTTATGTGCTCACCTTTATATATTCCATTATTCGTTCTACTGATATGAATCTGGCTTCTGTTTCAATCCCCATTCTTATGCAGATTTGGAGTAATCCTGTCAGCTACAAGCAATGAATATTTCAAGTTTGATACTGTGCATTTTTGAATATGTCTTTTGATAATAATTGATGGCTAATGAAGAGTAATTGAAGAACAGCATCTCACTTTTGATTAGGCACCTCATAACTTTTCGGATCCAATACTGTTCGACAGTGTTAAACCATAATCTCCACCCCAATTTTGTTTCCTTTCAATTCACAGGTTTCAATTTTATTCTTGTTTTTCCCTTGATTTGCTGTTCATTATTCAGCGATTCCATGTCCTCTAGACACATCTTTTGTTGCTTTACTTGTCCCATTGCTATTCCTGTCCTGTGCCTGTCACCACAGGCCATCCCTTTTGATCTCTTTCCATTTTCCCCCTTTCACTTATTTAAAATCTGTTACATTTCTAATTTTCTCAGTTATGACAAAAGATCATTTGATCTCAATTGTTGGCCAATTGCAACTGGGGTCAGAAATAGCTGAGGAAATTATTTGAAAATATTCCTGGATATCTTCATCTTGAAAACACAATTTTTAAATAAATCAAAGGAAGGGGAAATGGGTAAGCAATTCACCTCCAATTGATGCCCAGTAAGCTTCTTGAGGAGCTTGTCTACAAGCTGTAGAGGATGAGATCAGAAATCAATGAACCCATACTTGAGGGAAATGTTAATATCTATCATCAGGATCAATCCTGCCAAAAGTTAAAGGTCTTTTTAATGTTCAAAATGTTTGAGGAGCTGTGGGTCCTTGTACTGGATTTTAAGCTTTATGTTCCATTGTTTTTGTGCTTGGAAAGCTGCTGATCCTTCTGAGTGATGTCTTCTCTCTTCTGCAAAGCATTGGCAAGCTCCATCATGGATGTGTTTGCACCTCTTATTTCCCACCTCCTGACACAACCAGTGCCATCATCCAAAACATTCAAAACTGCTATATTTAGTACTTCAAATAATGATGACATTTCTTCTGAAGATTGATTTTGCAGTTTTATGGGGATATTTTGTTATCCTTGCTAATTGTTTTAATAATTAATTTATACAAACAGGAACTGGGATGGGGCAAGGGCACAGTGGTTAGCACTGCTGCCTCACAGTGCCAGGGACCCAGGTTCGATTCCAGCCTTGGGCAACTGTCTGTGTGGAGTTTGCACATTCTCCCTGTGTCTGTGTGGGTTTCCTGTGGGTGATCCAGTTTCCTCCCACAGTCCAAAGATGTGCAGTGTAGGTGGATTGGCCATGCTAAATTGCCCGTAGTGCCCAGGGATGTTTAGGTTAGGTGGGTTAGACATGGGGAAATCAGGGGTAGGGGAATGGGTCTGGGTGGGATGCTCTTCAGAGGGGCAGTGTGGACTTGTTGGGCCAAATGGCCTGATTCTATAAACCTCTCAAGATTAAATTTTTGATAGATGAAAGGGATTACATGTGTCAATCTAACTGAACAATGTATCTTTATTATTATACTAGACATGACACTATTTAAAATGAGGCCTTTTCATTGGTGATCATCCAGTTTAAATGTTACAAAATAATGTACGGTTTGAACCAAATAGTATGATTAATTAAATTTCGCACCTACGTGATAGAATACTTATCCTGCTTGTGTCCACATTTGTAAAGACACATTTTCTTTTGTTCTAAATGAACAAAGAAACAGTATGAATTGACGTTAATGCTAAGCTCACATTGATTTTACAAAGTGACACACACAGGAGCATTTTGTAACTAAATGAGAAAACTGCCGTGAGGCTGCTGCTTTGCTATTTTTCTGGAAATCTGACAAAGGAAGAATTGTTTTATTAATGCTAACTATCACAACCTAGTTCTGTAAATTAAAAACAGAACTTTAGACATTGTATACAATATTTTCTAATTGCAAGATAATGTGAGCGATTTGATGCACAATGTATTTTCAAAAAATATTTTTGTTCTGAAAGCATCAGATGAGTAATATATCAGATAAAGGAAAAAAGAGACACCTTGGATCGATATTGTATCTCATAAGCTCAGGATGTTCCTTGTATTTCAATGGTGATTATACTTCAGGAACACTTTACAGTTAATAAAATACTTCAGAAGCATAGATGTTTTTATAACGTAGGGAAATAAAGCCGCAAAATCCACAATTTAAACCTTTGTTTTCAAGATCAGCAGCTAGTGCCCTTTTTCGCTCCACTTAGTACAAAATTTGGTCCATTGTTAAGTTGCAATAATGTCCATTCAAGAAGTTGAAACATAAAATGTGAAAAAGATTTTTAATTTTACTGATTGATGAAGTGAAATAATTTAGCTCCATTGAAGAATCCTAGCATCACAGGATTATTTTATCTGAAAAGAAATTCATCAACAAGTCATTTGTTCTTTCTTCATGGACTTTTTTTTGGCTGCAACATGTCAATTATAAATTTAAAAAGTTAGCTAGGCTACTCTCCTTCTCCACCCCCTCACCCCCCTTTTATAAGGTTAGAATGCTGCACACATTACTTCTCCCAGAACCCTATTGAATGTGGACTCTTTGTAGTATAGTCCAGAACTTTTAAATTCTTGTCATACAGTTGAATTAGTGTCTTTCATTCCAATCTTTTCATGCTGACTGAAGAATCCTTTTCACTGAATAGGAAAAGCTAAAAAAATACTGAAGTTGATATTTTTCTGAATTCTATTGAGCATGTTATTTCAGAAGCAATTATACGGTATTTCAGAAGATCAATTAAAATAATCAAAAGGAGAAAAAAAAGAAGAAAAAATACGTTTCCTCACCTGAATAGCATATGACAAAGCAAGTCCCTTATTTGACGCAGGAATTGAGTCAGGACCCAGGATGACAAACAGGGCCACAGTCAAAGTCATGATAGCTGTGAGAATATCAATCCTCACAGCGAGCCATCGCATGGAACAGTTAAATAGTAAAAAATGACTAGAATTTTTATCACTTAAGTCTTTAAATCTGTAAAATAATAAAGAACACTATTTTTGATAACAATTTAAGATTGAAAACAGTATGATGATTGTAGAAAATTGATCATTGTGATAAGCATAAGATATAAAGAGCTTCACTTACTTTTCAATAAAATCATCTGTTTTATTGTAGGCATGAATTGTGCTTATTCCTTGAATACTTGCGGTAATGTGAGAGAACCAGGGGGATCTGCTAACATTTTCTATTCTCTTCAATTCTCTGATGCCTTTTTGAAAAAGTCTGCATGGAAAAAGCATTTAGGGTTTTTTTTCCGGATTCTGTATCTGACTTTAAATGATTTTCCCTTCCTTCATTACTTCCCACAATAAGGACCAAAAGGATGGATTGATCTGTTTTGAGGCTTCTGTCAATGGAAATAGATGCTGGAAATTGATACGAACAGTTCTAGTGATGAAAATTTCAGAGTATGGCTTCAAAGATTATGATAATAGATGTTTAAAAAGCTGAAGAGCTCACTGTGATGAACACTGACTATCTAGTGAATGAATGCATCTAATATCATACCATACTCATCCACAAGCAAACAGGGTTAAGCATATTCTTACTCTCCTCAGAGCTATGTGTAGTGAATCAGCCAATAACATAATTTAAAGATTAAAAACCCTTTGTCTTATTCCGAGTCCTTTAATTAGATATACATTGTCATGTATACAATCATTATGGTACTATTTTCTTCAAAAGGCTGCACATAGAACTTAAACCTTGCAATCCCATTCTAACACAAAGCTGTTCAACTTGTACATGGTTTGGTTGACATGCAATGACATGTTCTCCAATACCCATTCTAAATTTCTAAAAATAAGTATCATTTCTTTGATTCAGCATGTTCATTGTCAGGATTTCTCAAGAACTTTGGAATGAGCTCAAGCCTGGCACAACATGAACAAATTGTTTACTAAATTCTCTCATCTAAAGTTTTGCAATTAGACACAAAACTTCAAAAGTTGTAGTGATTGCGGTAGCTCAGGAAGACAAAGACAGAATGATGAAATGGGTGAAAGAATGAGAAATGAAACTCAATGCAAGGAAATAGGAAGTGATGCACTTTGTTCATATTTGTATGAAAAGAGACTATACTGTAAGTGTCACAATTGTACAAGGTTGGAAAAGTAGAGAGGCTTTGGTATCTATGTATACAAACCTCAAATTTTACCAGGCAAGTTGATAAAGTTGTTATAAAAACCATGTAGGTTAGTTGGGTTACAAATGTATAAATAGAATGTAAAAGCAAAGAGATCATGCTACTTATTTAGAAGTTTGCAGGTAAGGCCTCTGTTGGAGTATTGTGGACTCAGGAAAGACATAAATGCTTAAAAAAAAGTTGCAAAAGAGATTTACCAGGATGTCATTACAGTTCCCCACTAAAGTTTAAAAAATTGGGACAGTTGTCATTGGACAGAGAATAAAGATAGCATGATAGAGATTTGCAAGGTGATGAGAAGTTTTGATAAAGTTGGTAAAGAAAATTATTCCCTCTTGTGAGTAGATCAATAGCTGAAAGTCATAGATTAAAATCTATTGGTTAAAGGTAGAAAGGAGAAATGTTATCACCATGTAGTTGGGATCTAGAATATTATACCTGAAAAGATAGTGCCACTTATTCCATAAATCATTTTAACAGTGATTTTGACAATGAAGTGGAGTTATGTGCAGGATAATGAACAAAAAAAACAGGGATGTGGGAGCAAGCACAATTGCTCTTTCAAAGACCCGGCATTCTCTAACGACCTCATTCTATGTTGTCAGTTTCTATAATTTGACTCAATTTCAAAGTAAACTGAAGATAAAAAATCATATTTTCAGTTTCCATACCTTGTGTCTTATTATGTGTGTACTTTAGAAAAAAGATAAAAAAACACTTTTCACTAAGACCTACAATTAATGAATTCTACCCTCAACTGTTTGTTGTAAACTATCACTTATGCATCTGATCATAATATCCAGCAACATGGTTATTTTCTTTCTTGAACACTTTAAAAACACAGCTCAAAAATGGAAAGTCCTACCTTGCCAATTACAGTTTAAAAATTAATACCACTACAAAATGGCCTCATATTGCAGCTTCATGGATACCAGCACTGCTGAGTTTAGTGCATTGATTTATTTTAAATGCGTTAAATGATACAAACAACATTCGAAGAAACTTGATGTAAGTACATTAATCAGTAGATGATAAATATCCCACAAAGAAATTCCAATGTTTTCATGTCTCTAAGCCCTAGTGCTAAAAGTTGAGGGCTGTGAATGTTTGGAAATAAAGAAGTGGGAAACTGAGGGGCCAAGTACATAATGGTGAAATGCTGTTTTATCAACAGCAAAATCACTAATAATCTTAAAATTGTTGATTCAGTTTAACTTGTCTTTTTCCTGTAATTCAGATTGTAATTAGAGTCCTTACGTCAAAAGGCTTCTCAACCTGAAACTCTTCCTCTTAAATGAAATTGTTCCAATTTTAGATTTAATTAAAAGACTTATCTCTAAAATACAGCAGATACTTCCTTGAAATCCAACAGGGGGTACAGTGGGGGGTGGGGTTAAGTGTTGGTACTGATTAGGTGAGTAGATATTTGATAAATCAGTTTTACACACGTTTGTCCTGTTTCATGTGATTTGCTGAGAGGTACACTTTAGGCCTTATTTTATATGCAGAATATCATCTAATCATTGTGTATTGCTGTTATTTAAAGTATCAAACGTTATTTAAATCCATACAGAATACCTAGTAATGTCACTAAGTTGGAAATGTGCCAATGTTGTTGAGAGCTTACTTTAAATGTGTTTTTGAGGTAAGTCATCTATCATTTTAACAAATAACTAGCACTGACCATAGGAGGTTATTTATATAGAGGGTCATTTTCCAATTCTTACTTTTCATATACTTTTTTTATTTTAACTTTTTGTAAAATACCAATTTTGCTTTTCGAAGATTATATGTCTGAATCAGGAGACAGTTCTTCATTCACGATCTTGTCCATTGTGCTGAATAGCACCTCCTAACGGCTTATGTTGATGTGATTTGGTGGGATAGATGCAGTATTGCCTTTAGAAACATTTGTACGATTACTTCTATTCCCTTTCGACTGGATACTCGCTCAGCTTGTCAAGTGATCTGTGTGGGAGAACTGAGCAGAAATGAGTTCACTGACATGTTCCCTTATGGCTCTGTCTATCTAAGCACAGCATTCAGAATCCTATGGCTTTGTCTATCCAAGCCCAGCATTCAGAATCCAGACAAGACAAACTGCTGTATGTTTCCATGAGCTCAGATCAGATCAATGATATAATGACTAGATAGTTTGGTGTTAGTACTGATGACCAAGGCACTAAGTGGACTCTCATGTGTTTTGTTTGAATAGTATTATGGAATATTCTGGGTGGTCCTGACAGGGCAGAATGGACTTAGTTTAGATGGTTCATCTGAAAGAGGGCACTGTTGACAATGCCCCACCCCCTCAATATTGCATTAGAATGCCAACCTCAAGCACATATCCAAGCCTTTGGAGTCCTTATTATTCAGGTGTGAACATGTTACTACCAAGCTAAGGTTAATATCTAATTATATAATCTTCATAATGAGCTTATATGAAAAAAACATCATGTGTAGCTTTCTCTGATTAAAAAGCTGTGCAATTACGTTCCGTTTCTCCAGAACTTCGGCAAGACCAAAAAATTAAGAATTAATTGGAGGTTCTCAAATAGAGTCAGCAGACAGTGATATAAAAAGTGATATAATAGTGATATAAAAACCCTACAAACATGTAGCAAGCAAGTCTACTCATTTCTGAAAGGAGAAAAGATGAGTTAATGTTTCTTGTTGAGGTACTTTGTAGAGTAGATTTTCCAAGCTACAGCTTAAAATATTTCCCTTTCTTCTCAAATATTGAGGGGCTATCTGTGTAATCCCACAATTTGCAGCTTTTATTTTCATCTCTGGTGTATTTAATCATATATAGCCTCACTTACATCTTCCTAAAAGATCTTGAATTTCAAATTTACCATCTAGAACTTTTTAAGAAGTTGTTCTCAATGGGGTATATTTTATGATTTTGTGACCAGTATAAAGCTTCCCATATCAAGACCGTATGTTAGAAGTTCTAACATAGAATTGAATTCAGCCTTCGGTACATCAGTAAAAACCCCAAATCCTATGTAATAGAAATAGAATTGAATTTATGCCAAGGTAGAAAATTGATAGCCCAATGCTTTTGATGCTACATTATTGGATACGTTAAAAATATTTAACAAACGTTGAACTAACCTGAAAATGATTACAAAAAATGTAGCCATGATAACAACTGCGATGAGAAGATATGGAAACACTGCTGCCAAGGTTGCTATTGTGAATAGTACTATCAACACCTGTTGTAGAAAATTCTCGGCTTGAAAAGGTAGCCTCACATCAATTTCGTCCATGTCCTTGGAAAAGCGGTTAATGATCCTTCCAATTGGGGTGGTGTCAAAGAACTTCATTGGACAGTGCAAAATCTTGTTTATAAAAAATAAAACAAATAAAATGCAATTTCCAAATTAAATAGCTATTATTATTAAAGTGAATATAAAGTGAGGCTTATGTTACTACTTTTCAATAAGTCTTGCAAGATTATTGTCTATCTTGTAAAGTCCCACTTCTGTTTGAAACTTTGGCTCCAAATGTCTGGGGAAACCAATTGGAAGCACATTTTATAAAGAATAGGATATAATATCAGGATGCACGTCCCTCACCAATAAGAGCAGAATTTTATCGTCCTCGGCCAGTGGGTTGCAGACAGAGTTTCCAAAACATTCCTCCGATATCCTTCCCATTGTCCTCCCTGATCAGTCTACAATTTTACGATGAGATAGGCAAGGCTTAGGCCAATCTGCCCACTCTATTTGTCCATATTAAATGGGCAACTATTCCCGTTTCCTTTCCAGCTTCAATCTTGAGGTGGGGAATGTCTGGCAGGCATCAGATTGACAGGTGCGTCTGCATATTTCCATATTGGGCAACCTCACCAAGGTCTGCCCTCTATGATAGCTCCCTTCCCCACTCTTAGTCCTCCTACGCAATTCAGCCTTGCCATCAAACCTCTCTCCCCAGCATCCTGGGTCTTATCTCCCCTTGAGACCACATGCAGTTAAGACACAGAGATTTTAGTAATTGCTAGTGGAAAAACTCAAGCAAAAATATACAAATTATTAGTAAATCACAATATACAACTTATTTTGTGTATTTATTAAAGCAGTAATCTCCAAGAGATTGAATGTGTATGTATGATCATTTACTTATTTTTGGGTACAATGGGTAATGCAATAAACAGATTATTGCTTTTAACATCTATTTATCAGTATTCAAGTTGTGCCAGACATTACACCAGGAAAATGAAGAAATTGAATTAATTGAAGAATGTATTTCTTTTGGAAATTGTTTCAGAGACAAAGGCATGTAATATTTTCTAACTCTGTCACCTTGTTCAGAAGAGATGGACAAAGCAAAGTCTTTTAAAAAATGCTCTGTCACGGTGATATATCTCAGGCTAAAAACACCAGGGCATTGATTTTTCTCTTCTTTCTGTCAGTGACTGTCAATGCCAAACACGTAGTGGCTTTCTTTATCAAGCATGGTGACTTCTAACATCTGAGCACTAGCCTCAGCATATCCATCCAAAAACCCAAGTGATATGGCATACCTACAAATTTGTGGTGGTTTTTCTGTTTTGCCAGAATGTGACTTAATTTCTTCCTGCAGAGGAAGAGAAATGAAGTTGCCTCTATGAATAAATTTATAGCTTCATTTGTTTTGTTCAGTTGAAGATCAGGAGTGACTGAGCCTGCTCTGAAACCAATTTTTAGCAAAGAAATTGCTGACAAGTCTCTTTTCCCCATTACAACCTGCTACTGTTAACCTTTATAATACTTTGCATGGCATGTACTTATTTTAATACTTTTGCAAGAAGTGACAATCTATGCATTTGACAGGGGGAAATGTGAAAATGAAGAGAACTAGCTGTGGAAAAGGAAAGGTGAATAGATACCTCAGGTTCCTTTGATGCATTTCTAACAAAAGGACTAAGTGTTGGATTGGGCTTTCTCTGCAGTGATTGAAACTCCACCCACACGGAAAAACTTGTCAGAATAAGCACCAATCAGTGGGTTGAGAGCTGATCAACAGGCTTATTGGCAAACCACAGGCCTTGACTTTGAAGTCCTACTTCACAAGTAGCTGTCAGCCAAAGGCCAGCAGTTTCTGGGTCCTAGAGAATGTTGCTGGAGACCTAAAATCTTCAGACGATCCAATGGCGGGAAGGTGGATCTTTCTCTTTAGTGTTGTGTGGGTGCAGCTTACCATGGGAGGAGGTTCAAAGGCAAGGACAAGGTGCTGCTTTCAGTTAATTGACCAGTTAAAGCCTTAATTATTGGCAAGCTGAAAAAGTCCTCAATTTGACCTTCTAACCCAATACTTAATTGCTGAGGTGGTGAGAGAGGGTGAATATCTCTTCATGGTCAACTCACTCAAATATATGTCCTTCTCACCAATTTCCTTCCCATCTCTAGGGGCTGATAATTTGTACCCAAAAGATGTCAGGTCACTTAACTAGCTTGTATGAACAATAAACCTCTTACATATTTGATAAGATAATGAAGATAAATTTATTTGACCACATGAATTGATCGAATAACATTTGACAGATGTTATATCTTCAGCAAAACCACTAATTGGACTTAAGTAGCAGATACAAAATCAAATACGTTAACAACAGCTTGCATATATTTTGTGTGGCTTTCATGCAGTGAAATGTTCAATGGCACTTGACATGGATGTATCAAAAAACAGTTGACACCAAGCTATCAAAAGAAGTGTTAGGATAGATAACCAAAAGCTTCATCGAAGAGATATTTTAAGAAGCATATTAATAGATGAGTGGGAGGTAGAGATGCCATGTAGTTTTGGAGATAAGTTCCAGAACCTAGGTCCTAGGCAGCTGAAGGCATGACTGGTAGAGCAAATAAAATTAGGGATGCAGAAGAGGCTAAAATTATAGGAGCACAGACATCTCAGAGGATTATAAGCTTGAGGTATTACACAGATGGGAGGGCATGGATGGATCTGAAAACAAGTAAGAATTTTAAAACTGAGGCAGCGCTGGATTAGGATTCAATGTGGGTCAGTGAGCTGACGGGACTTGGTGAATATTAGGATGTAAGCAACAGAGTTTTGGATGAACTCAGATTAATGTGGAATAGATCATGGGAGGTCAGCTAGGAGAGCATTAAAATCAGATGTGAAGAGGTAGAATGCCTCCACTCTTTTACCACTCTTCGTTTGACCACAGCAAGTGTTTTTGTTTAAAAAGGTTATGTTTGCTAATTCACTGAGTATTTAACAACTTGGGATGCTGTACCTTCATAAGACGCACACAGACAGGTTTCCTTTAGATTTAAAAGGATGAAGAATGATACATACTGTGTTTAGTCCTCTATAAACAAAGAAGTTTTAAAATGCTCTGACTTTCATACACATCGGCACTCCAAGTTTACCATGAATGCACAAATAAGTTACAAATGGGAGAACAGACAAAGTGGAATTTTTAGAGTCTATTAAGAATTGAAAATATACAGATCTTGTACGTTGATGACATGGATAGTTTCAAGCTAAGCTTGTAATCCCTCTGGATTCAGCATTGAGACAATTCAAGTATGTTGATGATTGATTTATATCAGTATCATAGAGTTAGCTGCTGGGATGATTCTTAAAGCTCTACCTGTGGCATGTGGATGGTTGAACTGCAGACAGGTCTCAAACCTTCTTCCAGCTAGATTGTGAAAGAGAATGGCCCACTCAGGAGTCCTGCTCCTTTGGAACCGTGATTTGTTTTTACTCATGTTCTAAGGTCTGCTTGAAAGTAATTTCTTAAATACAGAAGGAGGTTTGTCTCACAATCGTCTCTCACCACCTGTGCAGTGATCCAAACATGGTCTTGGTTAGTGAATTCCATGTCCACGTTTTGCATTGTTTGGTTATGGCTGGATTAATTCCTTTCTCAGCCAGAGTTTGTTGTCTGAGATGATTACATCTATGTTTGCTCCCCATCTAATTGAGTACCCAAGTGATGTCTGGATCGTTTATAAATGAATTAGAATATGGCTTTTCACACTCCTTCAAGGTGATTGACTCTAATGGAGTTTAATGGTTTTGGAATTTGAGAGGTAAAGTCAAGTAAATTTACAAAATCTTAAAAGCTGCTGTTTCAAGTTACTGGAAGACTATTTCAGCCTTTAAAACATAGAGGTTTCCAGCATAATAATTAAATAAAAGAATTTTTGATGTGAAGTATGTCTTTTTAACAGTGGCAATAATCAAGTTAGGAGTAACACCAAACTACAAAGATTGCAAAACTGTTGCCCTCTATCAAAATAATAACGATATCATAAAAGTCTTATCGCAGTCCATTGTATTGTGTTGGAACAAAATTCATGATGTAAAATTTCACATGAAAGTGACCATTGATCGAATTATTTGCTTGTCTCTGTGTTGTCCTGATGTGATATGAACTGCACTGAACTATGGTACTTGTAAAAGGTTGCCTCCTATAACCAATGATAGGTAGTACCTAGTTATGGAGCCACAAATCAAAACTGTCTTCCAAGGTTCCAATGAGGACTTATGCATTCAGACAATCAATCATGCTTGGGAGTAAAAGTATCTTGTATATTGCCGACAGATTATTAGAATTGTACATTTCCACAATTATTCACCCATTTCAATACAATTATATCTTTGCTAAGAAATTGCCTGCTGCATTCAACAATCCACAATTTTGATAAATGCACACCTTATAATGTTAATGTACATGTTGGCAGACAATTGAACAAGGTGACAAGTAATTAGTCTGCCAGATTTAATTGGCATGAAAGTTTATGCAATCAGCTATCAGAAATAATTTTCTTTAGGAACAAAATAGTTTTGTTAAGACAGAACATGTCTATAATTAAAATACTAGTATATTAAAGACAATGCCATTAGGAATTTGCTCAGGGGTATATCTTTTAGCTGCAGCAGCTTTTGCAGAAAATCAATGGAAACCCCATTTAAGTAGTATATTCAGGTATGAAATGGGGAACTCTCAAACCAAAGATTATTTTGCAAATTTTCTATAGTTGGCTTTACTCTTCAGACAGGAAACTGAAGAACAGATGTGCAACTTTCAAAATTTGATACTCTGATAGAACTAATTTGCAATTGGGAAATACCATAAAGAAACAGGTGCAGAAAAGTAAATCCATAGGTGAAAGGACTGTCTTTGTTATATTCTATTTAAAACATTTGAGGTCTGATACATGTCTTAAAGCATAATTTACTCCTTACAGTTGTACTTCTAACATCCAAATTATTACTGTTTTATATTTCCTGAGATAATAAACTGAAACAGAATCTTATGGAGATGCCAGGAGTGTCAGCTGTTATACATCAGCTTTCATCGGGAAGGCCCGCATTGAATCTTGTGTCATTCGAGCACTTGACATGACAGTGATGGGTCCAGGATGGATTCAGACCCAGTTAAGTGATGGCACGAACAGGGAGGGAAGTTGGCAGTGAAGGCACAGGGTTGGCTTTTAGCTTCTCCAATCTTGAAACCAGATTCCTTGATCATAGGCTGAAGTCTTTTTAAATGAGGATCAACACCACTTCATCCTCCCATCGGGAGCCCATAAGCAAATTCACCAGAAATTGTTTGTTTGTGTTTCATTCCCCACTTGCTGAACGCCCATGCTCATCACTGGGTTAATACCAGCAGTAACAGGTTATCCTTTGAGGGCCTTAATTGGCAACAGGGTGGGAAGACTGTCCATGGGCCTGCCCACAACAGACATAATTGGGGTAGAGGCTTGAAGGTAGCAGAGTCCTGACCCAGGAACTTACCACCCAACCAAATGCACATTGCAATCGATCCCATCTTGCAGGAAAAATGAGAAAACCACCCTGCATATTTCAATATATTAATTTAAAGTCAAAGTTAATTTAATCTTTATAATTGAAATCCATAAAATACTGTATCAAGCATGCATCTTACCTTGTAGAATACATTGTCATGTAATGTAGATGAAGACTTCAAAGTAAACTTTGTGAAAGCAAATCCCTTAATAACACTCAGAACAATTGTTACAACAATGGACATCCCATAAATTAGTTGGTAGAATCCTAGCTGGGGATTATTGGTGATGCTGCTACAGTCCACTGTCGTGGTGTTGTTCCTTTGTGCAATACAGTCAGCCTGTGTAATTAAATGCAAAACAAAATTGTCAATAGCTTGGTTCCTGAGACAGAAAACCCACAATAGCTTAGAAATTGCATACTTGTCGCTGAATTGTCAGGCGAACAGTACAGCAGATGCTGGGATGTCTAAACATAACAGTTTGTAAATTTCCCTTCAGAGTTGCTGTCTTGCTCATCACATCATATCCAATGTTATTTAGTTTTTCTTCAAGGAATTACTGTTTCAATACTGAATTGTGTAACTTATGTATTACTCAGTAAAATAGATAGACTTAGCAATAGCATTAAAGGAGGTGGAACTTGTGGGATCTTTAAGGGCACCTGGGTCCCACCAATCCTTCCTCAAAAGCAAGTTGAGATCAAAAAGGAATGGTACAAGTTACGGATGGAAGAAGCATCTTCCCAACACAATTTTCTTTCTTAGCCAGTGAGGGTTGGGGATAGTTTCAATCCCAGATTCTTACTCATCCAGTCCCAACGCAGCAGAGTTCTCCACTGAAAGAGAGCATAATTTCTACCTACACTATTAATGAATTTGGTATCATTAATGTTGTGCCAGAGGAGAATTGTTAATTTAATTCGTATTTTGTAAAATTTAAGTTAGTTTTCATTTGGTCTCAGAAACACACTGGTTGCTGAAGATGCATTTTCATCATCATCGAATCCCTACAGTGTGGAAACAGGCCCTTCGGCCCAACAAGTCCACAACGACCCTTGGAGCATCCTATCCAGGCCCATCCCCCTATAACTCACCTTATCGACACATCCCTGGACACTAGGGGGAATTTAGCATAGCCAATCCACCTAGCCTGCACGTCTTTGGACTGTGGGAGGAAACCGGAGCACCTGGAGGAAACCCACGCAAACACAGGGAGACTGTCTGTGTGGAGTTTGCACAGTCTCGTGAGAGTGGAATCGAACCAGAGTCCCTGGCACTGTGAGGCTGCAGTGCTGACCACTGAGCCACCGTGCCTCTATCCATCAACACAAAACAGACCAAGAAATCTTTGTACTCAACTTTACTATTCCTGTTAGATTTTCTCTCAGTTTAATTACTCAGAACCGAAAGAACTGCGGATGCTGTAAATCAGGAACAAAAACAGAAATTGCTGGAAAAGCTCAGCAGGTCTGGCAGCATCTGTCGAGGTAAAAACAGAGGTAATGTTTTGGGTCCAGTGACCCTTCCTCAGAACATTGAGTTTTCTTTTTTGCTTTTGCATATGGAAATACACAAATAATTGACAACCACTGAATAAGAATTTTGGAACACTTAGTTATTGATGTGAAGCCTTTGGGCTATCCCTTTGGTATACATTCTCCTCACTATGTACTGTGCCCTGTGAATTCAGTGAGAGGCAGCAATCTTTATTACCATTGCCTCTGGCTGCACGGTTGCTGCTTGCTGCATAATTTGTACTTATTCTCCAATTTGCATTATTAACAACTATTGTCTGCTTCAGATGCAATTGCAATAATTACTCCTCAATCATTTGGAAACACTTTTGTGCTGCTGAATATATTGAAATACTTTTTAGGTCTGTAGCATAGTTAGTAAAATACATTTTAAATTTTTATATCATTCTGCTCATCGTAAATAAAACAATTAAAAGATACAGGGCAAATGAAGGTCATTTGGTCAATTGTCCCTGTGTCAGTTCATGGATTAAAAATACTGAATTAGTTCAACACTTCTTGATCTTTCCCCATAGCAATTTTTATCCAATTCCAGCAAAGATCTGTAGCTCGGGTTGTGGCTGGAGTTGTTGGTTGGTTCGCCGAGCGTTGTCTCCCTTCTAGGTGACATCATCTGATCTAAACCTGTCTGCTCTAAAAAGAACAAACATTTCTTTCCCGTCTGTCCATATAACTGAAAATTCTTGATCCTGGTAGCAGTCTGGTAACACAGTGTGGAGCTGGAGGTGCTCAGCAGGCAAGGCAGCATCAGAGGAGCCGGAAAGTTGACGTTTCAGGTCAGGACCCTTCTTTAGAAATGGTAACTCACTTCTGCATCTTCTCTCAGGCATTGACATGGTCTGTAAAGTATGTGACCAAGAACTGATCACAATTTCCAGTGAGATCTAACCAATGTTTTATAAAGGTGTCGCAAAATTCCTTGCTGGTGGACTCAATTTCACAATTTAAAAAAAAAACCTGACTGCAGGTTTCCTTTTTATCAGCCTTCCCTACGTTCTATTATCCACATGTTCTTCCCAAATAGCTGAAATCATTTCTTGCTATCTAGTCTAACTGTTCCCCTTAAATCTTGAAAGGTTGGAGGAAAAAAATTCCACCTAATATTCTAAATTACATGAAAAATAATTTTAATTTTTAATCGCTCCTTATTATTTAACATTTAGAGTTTTGGTATTGACCCAATCATCGTTCTTTTAGTACCAAAAATAAAATCCTATCTCATCCTGTTGAAACAAAGTGGAAGCCTCTTACGCATTTATAGTGTGTACATTTCATTTCAGAGAAAACACTTGCATTTGTTGTATAAGGTGAAGCTTACCCCAGCTCCCTCTTCTATCCAGTAACTTAACCACCATCCACTAAAAGTTGTACAGCCGATTATAAGGATGAACATAAAGAGAACAAATAGAAAGAATATATATCCTAGAAAACAAATCAAAACAAACAATTCAATTAACTATCTCCTGAAGTTCACATCAAAAAGAATATAGAAACTAAATTAATATTAAACTATGGATCAACCCTTAAAAATAAATGTGGTCAATGAATCATACATGAACATGTTATTGCTGAAAATCAACTGAGATTTGACAAGATAGAATGCTCTGAATGGAAAACTAAGGGTGTAAAGTAAAAAGATCCACTCAAGTTTATATTCATTTCAAGAAACCAAATCACAAAGCTATACAGAATTTGAATAATATACAAGGAATATTAATCTAAATGCATTGTCTACACAAAAACAAACTGTTTACATTTTTATTATACAAATGTCTATGTTGCAGTTGCTGGAATTCTGAAACAAAAGCAGAAAATATTACCTTTGCATAGGTCAGAAAGCATTTTGGAAAGTGCAGGCAAAATAACTTTGGATGCAGATTCCTTCTTCAGAAAATTAATTATTATGTGATTGATATGGTCTGACATTGTTATATAATTGCTGGGAAAATATATTGATGGGTACATACAAAATTCTTTGAGAACAGCAGATTGCAGTCAGATATTAGCTTTTTTTTTCTTTATTCATTCATGGGATGAGGGCGTCACTGGCTCGGCAGCATTCATTGCCCATCCCTAATTGCCCAGAGGGCAGTTCAGAGACAACCACATTGCTGTGGGTCTGGAGTCACATGTAGGCCAGACCAGATAAGGATGGCAGTTTCCTTCCCTAAAAGACATTCGTGAACCAGATGGGTTTTTCCAACAATCGACAATGGTCATCATTAGACTCTTAGTTCCAGATATTTATTGAATTCAAATTTCACTATCTGCTGTGGTGGGATTTGAACTTGGGTCCTCAGAACATTATCTGAGTCGCTGTATTAACAGTCCAGCGATAGTATCACGAGGCCATTGCCTCCCCATCATTGCTCTGGGTAAATTACTGGCAATTTTAAATACATATTATCAAACACCTAATGATGAATCTTTCTCTGATTATATTTCAGGAAAAAATCATTTAACAATTTGGCTCACTGGTGGGCTGGATGTTTAAATTGTGGTAATATGAGACTAAAGACATCTGATTCAGCAAAGATTCAAATCACCATGACAAATCATGATGTGACTTTTATATTATGTGAGTAATAATAACTAGTGCATGGTGAACTCTGTTGGGCTCTATTGTTTATGGCTCATGTGTGGTCAAATTGGAATAGATTGATATTTTAGATAATTAGCTTCAAAAACTGACAATATTCATGATGTTTGAGAAGCTCATATTTGCCAGGTTGTGTGGTCTGTGTAGAGAACAGCAGCAGCTATGTGCAGTAAAGTAAAACTGTGGTGGTCTTTGGGAATGATGGTAGTAGTAGCCTTAAAAAAAAATCTATCATTCTTGTTACTGCTCAACTAGAGTAGAAGATAGTCTCGTGGATAGGGTATAATTGAAAAGGGTTGGGAATTTTCTTACCTCCCCCTGCCATAATATAATGGTGGTAAGTTTTTCCTGATACTGAGCCTGATTGGTTCTCCTCTTCTTTTGTAAGTTGCGTTTTTTGTGCTATAAAAGTAAATTCATGATTCAATTATTATTCCAGTAATAAGTGCTATGCAAGGTATATGACTTTGAAGTTCAGTGTAGCTGTTGTATGATAACATAGAGAGGTTTACTTTTCATGGTACCCAAAATAACTTCCAAATTATATTCAAGTGTTAATTCTGATGTAGTACTCTGAAATGAGTAACATCAAAAATTTTCAAAAGTCTCCAGAAAATTGTCATTTTTATTGACTGGGCAATGTGTGAAATTTCCCCCACATACTTTTGGGTTTAATTCTAACGCAGATAGGCAGAATGAAGCCTCTTACAGCTATAAAGATTAAACCTGAAATAATGTAAAGCAATGTGAACAATTTACTTTTAAAATGTTTTCATGGTAGTTGTAACTGGCTAGGCCAATATTAATTGCCCAGAGGGCAGTTAAGAGTGACCCACACTGCAGTGTGTCTGGAATTACACGTAGGCAAGTAAGGATGGTTGATTTCCTTCCCTTAGAGAGCCAGATGGATTTAGGCAACAATTGGCAGTTGTTGAATGGTCACCATTTAGCTAACTTTTAATGCCAAATTTCATTCTGCCATGGTGGGATTTGAACTCTTAGTATGTCCTCAGAACATTAGCCTGAGGCTCTGAATTACCAGCCCTATGACATTACCACTATACCACTTTACCACTGTCTTCCCTAATAATTCCTAGTGGTCATTTTACAGTCACTTAATAACACCTAGAAATTGGTACCAAACCATCAAAATAACATCAAGATGCCAGAAAGGACAGAGGTCTGATATGAGAAGTGGGGATATCACACTGTTATCATCAGAAGGTCTCTTCAGAGGTTGGGTTTACAGAACAATGGCTGTTTATTTAGGTTATCGGAGATAAGTCAAAATGTTGGAATGTGGGGAGTTGGGGTCACAATCAGATTATCCATGAATTTACTCAACAGTGGAGTAGGCTTGAGGGATTGAATGGCCTTCATTTAATCCTAATTTTTATATTTGTACATATTTCATATATATACAAATTTCATATATCTGGCTCATTGATGATGGTGACTCGCAGCAATGGCCTTACATTCGGGCTCTACCCACACCACCACTGTCCCCTCATGGGATGGGAGTAGCCTGGAGGATGTCAGTGGGTTACAATACTACCCTCCAATGCTATGAATTTCATGCCAGATTTTACTCAAATTGCCTCAAATGGACTATAGAGCCAGATATGAAAAGCTGCTTTATGTTACAGACAGGATGTAAACACGAGAGTAACAGCTTTAATCAAAATGTATTCATTTCATTTAACTCGAATCTCCTTACATCAGTGGGTCGATTCAACATTTCTTGGTCAGCCATCTGTTTCTGACAGGTTCACAAAATAAATGATTTAAATTTCGCTTGGGGGTTAACTTGACTGACTGAGCTGGAATACGTTTTTTTACTTTTTTTTGCATAAAGTGGGTTGGAAGTGGCTGTGCTGTCTCTCCAGCTTCATCATGTTCAATAGTGCAACCGCAGGCCTGTCAATCAAGTTTTCACCTACCTCCTGAAGATAAAATTCTCACCAGACATTCCATGCAGTACTTGAATAACTAGGTAATTTTAACAATAATACTTTGATGTTTTAGGAACAAGTATAAAATGTAACAGTAAATATATCAAACTGAGCAAAACAGATAAGCAATTTGTTTCACAATACAGTTTGAATAATTTTGGGGAACAAAATATAATACTGCACTACCTAGTGGTATGCTAGTTAAACAGTAGTGTTGGCTTTCGTAAAGGAAACGTTTACTCAGCAAAATTTCAAAATTGCCACACAACCTGTGTAAGAAATTTAATACAATACTTTAGTGTTTTACCTTTCGTATGGTTTCCATCTTGTTTCATTGTCTTCACATTCTCAGCATTTTCATCTGCTGAATCATTCTTCTCATCAGTCATATCAAATGCTAAAAGTTTAAAAAAAATCATTTTATATGAAAATTGTACTTGACTTTGCATTAACTGAATATTTTCTAAATAATGACAGACTAAGAGCTGATGAGCCGTAAAATGATTTAGGTGTCAATGTAAACAAATCAATCAAATGTGATACACAAGGAGTCCCCGTTCCAGGCATACCTTGTGGGGTATCAGTGAAAATCCCTACTTTGGACCTTATAATGGAGGGAAGCTAAAGATATTTGGGAAAAGACACTGTCCTGAGGAACTCCTGCAGCAGTGTAAAGGGACTGAGATCGTTAGCCACTAAAACCACTCCCAGCTTCCTATCCGTTAGATATTATTCCAACCAGTGATGATTTTTCCCTCCATTCTCATTGACTTCAGTTTTGCTCATGGTCCTTGATGCCATCCTTGATATCAAAGATAGTCAATCTCACTTTACCTCTTTTTAGTTCTTCTATTCATGTTTAGACCAAGGGTGCAATGAGATCAGAGGCTAAAGCGAGTCTGGTGGAATCCAAACTGAGTATCAGTCAGCAGCATCTTGCTCTGAAAGTACCTGCTTGACCGCACTGTCAATGACACCTGCCATCACCTTGCTGATGGTCAAGGGTGATTTTGGAATATTGTCTGTAAGGTATAATTCTGTGAGAATGGCTATGTAAGGCTGTTGCTTAATTAAGCCTGTGAGACAAGCTGACACAACATTTGTACCTATACCCAGAGGATTTCACTGTGTTGACAGAGCTGCCATTCTCTTTTTCAATGCCTAGGTTGATGCCAGGTGGTTCATCTGGCTTCATTCTTTATAGATTTTTCTGGACCAGTTTCGCACAACTTAGTGGCTTCCTATGTCATTTCAGAAGATGTATAAAAGACAACGATTTTACAATGGATCTGAAGTCAATCACATGTAGGCCAGACCAGGTAAACAAGGGGGATTTCCTTTGCTAGTGGACATTAATGATATTGGATTTAAACCTTTAGATTACGAGATCAGAATACACAAAGGTGACATATATTTCCCTGAGTTTAGAAGATTGGTGCACGATTTATTTAAAATTTTGAAAATGACATACAGATCAGGTAGAGAGAAGATATATCCTCTGCTGGACAGTGCAAAAAAAGGGCAAAACCTTAAACTTATAAAAAAGACCACTTAAGAATGAAATCAAAAAGCATTTTTTAAACACAATGGTAATGGGAAACTCTCCTCCAAAGGACTGTAGATACTGGATCAATTGAAATTTCCAAGACTGTAATGTTTTTTAAGGCAAGGATTCAAATGATATGGAACAGATCGGGATAAATAAAACTGATGTACAGATAAACTGTGATCTTAATGAATGGCAGAACAAAGTGGAAAGTTTCCATGATTACATCTGATACCAAATAATACAATCTTAGGTAAAATCCGTTTCTTAAAGGAGACTTACCAGCATTGTCTAAGCCTTTTAATCCTGTGCTTGAAGCAATTCCATCCAGGTTTTCTGTTTCAGAGCTAGGTGGCATCACATTGTCCTGTTCTGAACTCTAAATGCAACATGAAAGAAATACTGAACTGTAAATCGAAATAACATATGTAGTTGACTCTAAAAGGGCTCTCTGCAGAGGTTGGTGTTGTAATATGATATATATGTACCTTTAAGAAGGCATCTCTTAAACTGCTGTCAATCGCTACCATCTCAACACAGGTTGAGATATAATAGTCCATGACTCTGTATTCAGTGTACAGCAGCAACATGAGTCATTGCCTCCCAATGATCACTGTATAATTTTACCTTTAAATAAAGAACCCCCATTATTCTACTAATTCTTATCTTATGATTGGTATATTTACCATAAATAGAAGAATGTAATACACAAACAAAAATTCTGAGGAAGGGTCACTGGACCTGAGCTGTTAACTCTGATTTTTTCTTCACAGATGCTGCCAGACCTGCTGAGTTTTTCCAGCAACTTCTGGTTTTGTTCCTGATTTACAGCATCCGCAGTTCACTCCGTTTTTATTTTTACGATATAATATAGTAATTGTTTGGCTAGTTAGCTAGATGACTCAAATGTTGAAGGATAATGTTAGGGTGTTGCGTTCAATCCCTGGTAGTTTATGGATGACCTTGACCCATGCGTAATGCTGATTGGTATCCCTCAAGCTTTATATGCACTTGTTTCCCATTAACAGAGAGACCTGCTAATGGCCTTTTGTGAATGCCTAATTACCTGTAGTAATCTCTGTAATATTTAGTTATGATGAATCCATACTGACTTCAATGGCAGGAATTGACCAGTTCTGAGCTTGCAGATAGGCTTATGAATCCAAATCCAAGTAGTGACCCGAATTAAGCTATGTTCTCTTAATTTGTAAATGATATTTGTGCACTACAGCCACTTAAGGTTCGTGTATGTTTGCTGTAATCATTGTCTTTGTTTAGTTGACCTCTTTGGTTATTTGCTGTAAGTAAGTAGAAATGTTTTCAGGAAAGGCACATTTTTGGACGGACTTGTGATGTTGTATCACTTTAGAATCTTTCATTAGTTTTCATTGCTTCTATATTTAATAAAAACCAAGTGTGACTAAGATCTTTATCACATTAGATGAAATGAGGGAGCAAGGTTAACTTTCAACCTGTGGTTGAAAGCTTACTTTCACAATCTATATTTGAGGTTAAATAAAATATAATATAATAACACATTTAAAAGGGTGGGAACGAGAAAAAGCTAATGAAATTTTTCAGTTTTTCAAAACATGTTTAGAAAAAGTTGTAACTAAATGTACTGAGAAGGAAACATATATAAATTAATACTCTATTAAAACAGGAAGGTGAAGAATTAATGCATTTACAGCTTATAGTAGTTACAAGAGGTAGAATCTTCCAGGTCCACCCAGAGCTTTTAGAAGGGAGGGGGTACTTAATTGGGCAGGAAGCAAAAATACAGTTTCCTGATGGTGTGTTAAACTGTTGGTATTAAGTTCTCAGAACCTTTCAAGCAGGTCAGCATTCCCAACCAAAGAACCTCTTTTGCATTAATTATGATTCCATAAATACTCATTAGCATCCCAGCCATTTGACATTATCATAGAGTCACAGAGGATTATGTCATTGAATGAGGTCATTTGGCCCATTGATTCTGCAAAGCCCTCCAATGGAGCATCATGGCTCAGTGCCATTTTCCTGCCTTCTGCCCAGGCCTTGCATGTTGCTTCTATTTAAATAATCACCAAAATTCCTTCTTGAATGTCTCAATTAAACCTGCTTTCACAACAATTCCAGGCAGTCCAGTCCACACCTGAACCATTCATTGTGGGAAAACACATATTTCTCACATCACATTGGTTTCTTTTGCAAGTCCCTCCAAATCTGTGTCCTCTTGTCTTTAATACTTTGATGACTGAAATAGTTTTTCCCAATCAAGTGTATCCAGCCCCCTCATAATTTTAAAAACTTCTATCAGATCTACTCTTGGCCATCTTCTCTCCATGGAGAACTGACCCAACCTCTGTCCTCATAACTGAAGGTTCTCATTACTGGAATAGTGGACAACTTTATTCTTCCTGATACGTAAAGCAGTGTCTAACTTGCCTGTACTCTACTGTTGGAACAGTCAGATAATGATTAGCTCACTATTTTCAATGATTTTTCATTTGCTGATTGATAACATATGCAAATAAATACTTTCCTCTGGCAATTAAGGTGAATGTTTAATTGGAAATAATAATCATGAATAAGGGCATTGAATTAAGGTTTTGATGTCTAGTGAAATCTTAGGCCTATGCTTTATGAATACAGTAATACTATCACATAGAAGAAAGCACAAAATTAATTTAGGAAGTGATTATGTTCTGTAGTATAATGAAAATATTATTCACACTGCGGGGCATCATGATAGAAAGTACGATAGCAAACAGTGAGTAACTTCAGTAAAGAATCAAATAATTAACATAGAAGACTTTTAACACAAATCACGTCAAAAGAAAAGTTGATGATTAAAAGAAAAGTGCTGATTAGTGTTCTTGATAGCTCTGAGTAGGAAACCATGAGGTGGAGCCCCTGGTTTTCTGTTTATAAATTTAAATGGATAGAAATCAAGGGCTTTGGGCCTCTGATTTCCTGACCAGACACTTTGTCAACACCACTTCATAATTGGTGAATCAACCCTGTAGTTGAAGAGTAGAAGCTTAAAAAACATACAGTGTTAAGAAAAATGAGAATGATATTGATGAAGTGGTTAAACAAAAATAAAGTAAGCATGTATCTGTGGTTATAAAAAGGGTTAATGCTTCAGGTCAATGAGCTTTCAGTCTTAATGAAAATGCTGGCTCTCAAATGTTGCCCTACATACTAAGTAATTCTAACATTTGTTTTTATTTTTAAGTATCCAATATCTCCAGTACTTTACTTTTGAAATAAGGTATGCTATTGAAAAGGACAACTTAGTCCAGTAAGCCTATTTTCTCCACCGATCACTAACTGTCTTTTTATGGATTCTGCCACATGCATTTGATCAACAGAGGAAAAATGCACTAAAATCCCTCCCTCAATCTTGAAAACTCTGCAGCATCTACATTGCTTATATTTTCTCTGCTCAAATCCTGTCAGATACATTTTATAGTTGATATTATCATGATCACAGCACTGAGGAGTTAACTGTGTTACATAGAGCATTTGATCATCTTTGACTATGGTTATTTATGTAATGCTCAATCATTCTTAATCAGATCTTTAGCTAGCTTTTAGATATTCACATTTCCAAAACTGCCAGGTTAATGTTGGAATAATTAAGGTTATTCACTGAATTAGGGTTTGTGTGCCTTATCAAGATAATGTTCTGCTTAAAATGAGGTTGTCAGATTAATATGACTTGGATTAATGAGACATGACTGCAACATAACTCTTAAACAGCAAAGGCCCAATTATCCCACTTGAAGCTAGATGAATAATTAAAGCACTGTGAGTGCAAGAATTTCTCCAGTGACCTAAATATTAATGTAACAGCATAAAATTCTCAGAGAAGCTGATGTTTCCTCTTCCTGACTTCTAAGTTCCCGATTTTGCTTGTATCTTATTTTGTTTTCTGTAATGTCATTAAAGATTCCCCTTTCATGAATATTTCTAATTTACAAATGTAAATTATGTTTTAATAGAAAGCTGTATCACCTTCTGAGTCATAAATTACATGAAAGATTAAAAAAGACTTGCATTTATATAGTGCCATTCACAGCCACCTGACATCTCAAATTCTTTACAGCTAATAAAGTATTTTTTTGAAATTTTCATTGTTGTAATGTAGGTAACATGCAACCAATGTATGCACAGCAAACTCCCAAAGACAAGAGTGTAATAATAACCAAATAATCTGTTTTTGTAATCTTGATTGAGGGATGAATATTGTCCAGGACATGAAGGATAACATCCTTACTGTTCTTTGAAATAATGCCGTGGGACATTTACATCTACCCACACACGTAAATGAGTCCCGACACAATGTCTCAACCAAAGGACACTACATGCAGCGTTGTCAGCCTTGATTTTCACACTGAAACCTTGAAATAACACTTGAATCCAGAACTATGTAATTTAGAGGTAAGAAGGCTACTAGCTGAGCAATGGCTGTGCTAACCAAATCATTGTAACAAAGTGGGTACTGACTTTGAAACCAAGTTCAAATTTTACAGGGTATAAGACTGGTCAGGAAAGTATTGTACATTGGAAAGTGTGCAACTCTTACATTTGGTTGGTTCATTTGATAATTGTTGATCAGACTGGCATAGTGTCCATTCTCATTCATCAATAATTCATGTTTTCCTTTTTCTTTAATTTTGCCATCCTCTAATAGAACGATTTCATCACAGTGTTCTAAATACTAAAGATAACAGGAAAAAATTAGACGTGCATATCAGTATAGTTCTTACAATCCTGATGCTTATGCACTATATGCTCCTCATTATGAAAGCCTGCATGCATTCGATAAATGCCAGATAATATTACAGGTGATCAAATGAAGAGAAGCTGCTTCATATATTCCGAAATGCAGCATGAACAATTCAGAACTGAGAGACAAAACAGAATTCATTGCTAGTGCTGGAAGTGTTGGAGTCTGCCCATATTTAAGAGGATCCTTTTTGTGTGACTTCATTTTACATTTCTGGAAAAGTATTGCTGTCCACAGAGAAAGTTGGTAGTTTTCAATATAAGCATATTTAGCAAGCATTTGGTGTTGAAATAATTTTAAGCTATAATCATTACTCAATCATTGCACTCCTTGTATCATACCCACTGGAGTCACCGTTACCTGCTATTTAAGTTGTCAATTTTATCTATGTAGATGGAATCTCCGTTATGGTGGTACCAATTAGGTGCTGGATCATTCAGACTTTGTGGGAATCCAACCTAGTTTCCTGGATCAGGCTGTTTGTGCATGGCATGACTGACCCCTCCAACAGCATCGCATCACTCTGGCTCAGGGTTGCACCACTCTGCAGTTCCACTTCATTCTCCGGCTCATTTGCAGTGCTAACCAGAAACTTTTTTCTTTTCCTTTCAAGTATCAAGGTGCACAAGATGCAACAACTCAAAGATACCCATGGCCCTCTGGAACCTTCCTCTCCTCCCCTTCCTTCTGACTCCATCCCCTCCCCCAAAGCCACCTCCTGTCAGGTAATTCACCATCCCTCCTAACCTTCTGTTCTCCAAAGCTGAACGTTCTGTACTCAGCAAAGGACTCAGCTCTATCCTTCTGCGTTGCCACCTTAACAAATTTCGGGCACGACATGATGTCAAACTCTTCTTCTGCCATCTTCCCCAGTGTACCCATTTCTCTGGACAAGAGTCCTCTCCCTGTCCCACAGACCCTTTCGCCCAGTTCCAACACTCTCCTTCCACCTGGACCCCTCCCTCTGGCCTTTTACCTGCACTTGATCTGTTCATTGAGAACTGTCAACGTGACATTGGTTGCCTCAATTTCTCTGACCTCCCTCACCCAATCCAACCTGTCTCCCTCCAAACTGGCTGCACTACATGCACTGAGATCCAACCCTGACCTTGTAATTAATCCTGCTGATAAGGGTGGTGCTGTTGTAGTCTGGTGTACTGACTTCTACATTGCAGAGTCTGCCAGCTCTCAGATACCTCCTCCTATCTTCCCCTGGACCATGACCCCATCATGGCACATCAGGCTATTGTATCAACTACAGTAACTAACCACATTTCATCTGGTGATCTCCCCTGCCATTGCTTCCAAGTGATAACCCCCAGCCCTGTACAGCTCGCTTCTACCTCCTTCCAAAAATCCACAAACAGGACTGTCCGGGCAGACCCATTATTCCAGCCTGCTCCTGCCCCACAGAACTCATCTCTTCCTACCTTGACTCAGTCTTTTCTCCCCGGTTCAATCCCTGCCCGTGTACATCCATGATTCCTCTGACGCTTTATGCCAGTTTCGAAATTTCCAGTTTACAGGCTCCAGCCATGTGCAATCCCTTTACACATCCATCCCCCACTAGGATTGTCTGAGGGTTCTTTGGTTCTTCCTGGAGCAAAGATCTGAACCATCCCCACCCGCTACCACCCTCCTCTGCTTGGCCGAGCTCGTCCTCACCCTCAACAGCTTCTTTTTTAACACCTCTCATTTTCTTCAGGTCAGAGGAGTGGGCATGGGTACCCGCATGGTCCCCAGTTATGCCTGCATCTTTGTGGGATACGCAGAAAGTTCCTTGTTCCAATCCTATTCTGGCCTCCTCCTCCAGCTTTTTCTCCAATATATCGATTATATCATCCGTACTGCTTCCCTCTCTCATCCAGAACTGGAAAAGTTCATCATTTTCGCTTCCAATTTTCATTCTGCCCTTACTTTCACCTGGTTTATCTCTAACTCCTCCCTTCCCTTCCCTTCCCTTCCTCGACATCTCTGTTTACATTTCTGGGGATAGACTGGCCTCGAAAATGTCCAACTTCTTCCTCAACTGAGGATTCCCCATTGTTGACAGGGCCCTCAACCAGGTCCAACCCATCTCCTGTACTTCCGACCTCAACCCCTCGCTTCCCTCCCGCAACAGCAATAGTGTTCCCCTTGTCCTTACCCACCATCTCACCAACATCCACATCCAGAAGATCTTCAGCCACCTTCAGCAAGATGCTACCACCAGACCCATATTCCCCTCCCCTCTGTTGTCTGCCTTCCGCAGGGACCGTTCCCTCCAGGCCACCCTAGTCCACTCTTCCTTCACTCCCAACACCGCTGCACCCCACAGCCCCACAGCACCTTCCCCTTCAATTGCCAAAGGTGTTACACCTGCCCATTTACCTCCTCCCTCCTCAGTATCCAAGGGCCCAAACATATCTTCCAGGTGAAGCAGTACTTTACCTGCACTTCACACAATCCAGTCTACTGCATTCGCTGCTCACAATGTGGTTTCCTCTACATTGGGAAAACAAAGTGTAGACTGGGTGCTTCACAGAACAGCTATGATCTGCCCACAAAAAAGAGTCTGAGCTTCCAGTTGCCTGCCACTTTAACACACCACACCACACCACACCACCACCTCAGGCTGGCTGCAGTGTTCCAGCAAAGCTCAGTGCAAGTTGGAAGAACAACAGCTCATTTTCCACATGGGGACCCTGCAGCCCACTTGACTCAATATCGAATTTAAGAGGCCTGAACTCTCCCATGTCCTAGCCCCGTACCCCATACACCAGTCCTTGTTATCACATAGCCTGCCATTACATACTGCCTATTGTCAGCCACTAACAGTCTCCATTAACAGCTATTCACCCTCCTAGGCAGATTGTTATCATCTCCTTTGTCTGTCCAACTGTTCTTCTCCCTCTTTGGGCTCTATCCCCACCTATCGTTTACTCCTTAGCCCCTTCCCCACCCTGTCTTCTGCATATAAACTGATAATTTCCTAGCTACCATCAGTTCTGAGGAAGGTCACTGGACCTGAAACTTGAACTCTGATTTTTCTTCACAGATGCTGCCAGACTTGCTGAGCTTTTCTAGCAACTTCTGTTTTTGTTCCTCATGATCTGACTGATATTGTCTGAGTGATTTAGATATTTATGGCAATTGTAATTTTCAAAGTAACATGCAAAGCAGGCTATGTGGTGCATGAAGGTTACGAGTGAAATTGAGGGAATAGCAAAGTCCAAGGACTAACTCTCAGGTGAACGATAAATGGCAAATATTGTTTTATTGGAACCTACCCATAGTATATTTGTTCAGCCTTTCAGCTGCTTCCTTGGATAAGTTGGTTTGGTAGTTATACAGTGTGGTATACACATGTTCCTGTGAAATTCCATCTCGTCCATTAGCTGGTTGAGGCAAGGAGAATCCACAAAGGAGCATGGGCTATTTGAGTGGTATCAGATTCTTTTCGATGATAGGCAGTGATTGAAGAAAGTGCAACAGCATGCATAATAGTCCCAAAAACATGAACCAAATTAAATGCAATAGTGGATTGCATAAAAGCTAAAAGAAATCACATTTTTTGTCAAATTAATTGATTTCATTTCCATCGGAACACATTACCCAGGAGGTTTTCTGTACCATTGATGTTGACTTTTTTTTTAAAACAGATTGTTAGGCCATTAAAAGCAGAATTTTTCTGTTTCCCTTTTTACCATCTTCATCCTTCAGCTACTTACCCTGTCTGTCTCACATACAAATGTGTTTTTTTTGGATTTTTGTCATGGTGCCTTCTATTATCTCATTTTAAAATGATTTCTTTCTTTTTAAATTTTGTTGGTTCACACGCATTTACAGATTATTGGAATCACCCATGCATGTTTTGGCTTTACTGTTTGTGCTTAGCCATTGTTCTATTTGCTCTTTTATGGCTTTCATGTCTAATATTTCCTGGAAACAACAAGTGCCTTTACTTGAAACATAGTTCACTGACCTGAACTGTAGTATGTTTCCAGAGCTTTCTCTCTTTATATTTGCTTTTTCGTTGGTGATGTTACATTTCTGGTGTAGTCTAACGGAACGTGACCAACATTTTCACAGCTTTTGCAGATTTGATGGTAAACCCTCAACTCAAAATCTCATTCTCTTCTCCCATGACAAATGTAAAAATTTCATTACAATACCTGCAGCTGATGAGTGACCAGAATCACTGTTTTCTTCTGGAGTGCTTTTTTGATACACTGCTCAAAGATGTGCTTCCCAACATGGGCGTCCACAGCTGATAAGGGATCATCCAACAGATAAACTTCTTGGTCTGAATACACAGCACGAGCAATGCTAATTCGTTGTTTCTGCCCACCGGACAGGTTGATCCCTCTTTCTCCTATCTTTGGTTTAAGTAAAATATCCATTAACATTTTCATATACCATATTTGATCAAATGACCAACTTGTTTTCTGATTGTTCACTTAAAAATAGTTTCTTACTTCAGTAAAATCACCAAAGGGGAGTATTTTCAAGTCCTGTTCTAGACTGCAGACTTCAATCACTTTCTTATACCTGTAGATTAATGAAGATGTTAAATGCAATTGGGAAATGTTCCACAACTGAACCATTGTTAGTATTTCAATATTAGCATGTATTAAGCTAGCACAATCACAAAGTGGAATGCGTTCCTCAGTCACATTAGTAGTCACAAGGTGCAACATTTCCCTAAGATACAGAGCAACAAAATGCTCAATCATTTGGTGCAGCACATCTGTAAGTTGCAAGTACCAAAGACTAGATGTTATAACTTGGCCAGAATACCCAGATGTCCTCCAAAACACAAAAATCTCAGGATGTATTTGATCAAATCAAAAGGCAACAGTTTCACCAGAAAACAGTCTAATTGAAAACAAAGGCAGGGGAGGTCATCATCAACTTAAATAAATCGTTGGTGTAGTGATTTGAACCAGGGCCAGGTGGATCTTGTTGACGGAGATCCTTGATTGGGGTTGTTAACCTGCACCAATGAGGGAGCCCTGGCTGACAGATATAAACAGGAGATTCAGAAGGTGTCCTTGGTTGAGGGACTGATTTTGAGCTGGCTGGTCAGAGTCCATTGACTGTGCATATGTAAGTATGGAATGACAGGTTACTAGCCCCTGTGCAGTTATTTCAGTTGGAGAGATGACTTATGATTTTGTCTGCTCTCACAACCTGCAGTACAGACAATGATAGGCTTTTTACTTCCAGCAAAGTCTTTGTACCTGATGAGGCATTACCTAAGTTAGTTCCCACAACATAAGAACAGTGAGTTCAATATAACTTTTTTTTTTGATTTCAGATTTCCAGCATCGGCAGTACTTTGCTTTTATTTGCAGTGAATAAAGGCCCAGTCCACCCTGTCTCTCCTCATATAATATACCATTTCTGGAATTGGTCTGGTAAGTCTTCACTGCCCTCCCACTATGTCAAGTACTTTTTTTACTTTTAGGGAAGGAGATCAAAACTATCATAGTACTTCAGGTGTGGTTGCCAAGTCCCTGGACAGCTGCAGTCAGACTTTCTTGCAATGAACGCCAATACAACATTTGCCTTCCAAACTACTTGCTGCACCTGCATGCATTTTTCAGTGACCAGTGTACAAGACAAAAATAGAAATTACTGGGAAAGCTCAGCAGGTCTAGTAGCATCTGTGGAGAGAAAATAGATTTAACATTTTGGGTCCATGACTCTTATTTAGAACCCCACTTGTCACTGCCTCCAAATCCACAAACTATCCACTATCCTTCTTTTCTGAAGAAGGATCCCAACCTGAAACGTCAGCTTTTTTGCTCCTCTGATGCTGCCTGCCCTGCTGTATTCCTCCAGCTCCACACTGCGTTATCTCTGACTCTAGCATCGGTAGTTCATACTATCCCTATTTTCTGTTTCCTGTCTGCTATATAATCCAGGCTGGTATCTCACCACCAATGCATTGATTTTGCACACTAACCTCCCATTTGGGACATTATCAAAAGCTTTGTGACAATTCAAATATATTATTACAATAGGTTCTTCTTTATCTATTCTACTAGGTATATCCACAAAAGCTCCAGTACATTCTTCAAGATTTTTCCCTTTAATAAATTCATGTTGACTTTATATAATTCTGTTGGTATTTTCTAAATAGACTTCAACATTTTTCTAACTATTGATGTTAGGCTAAATGGTTTGTAATACCTGGTTTTCTCCCTTCCTCCTTTTTTAAACAATGGGGTTAAATTGTAACTTTCAATCTACTGGGACTCTTCCAAAATCTACTGAATTTTGGAAGATGCCATCCAATCCATGAACTATTTCTATAGTCACCTCCTTTAGTACAAGTAGATTATCATGTCCTGGGGATTTAACAGCTTTCAGTTCCACTAACTTCTCCAGTACATTTTTTTTTAACTAATACTAGTCTCCTGCAATTCCTCATTCCCAATTGACCCTTGTTTCCCTATCACTTCTATGGATTTATTTGTGTTTTCATTCCTGACAACAGAACTAAAGTAGCTGTTTAATGGCACCAACATTTCTATGTTCATTTCAGGACATAAGGGCCAACAATGCTATTCACTCTAGAAGCTCCACATACCAAATGCCATAATGGAAGTGATCAATATTGAACCCCCAGTAAAGGAGCTTAGCAAAGCTATTGATTTGCTTGCCTATACCACATAAATTCATCAAATATAAGAAACCAGCATCAGCACTTACTCCTCTGTCTCTGCTGGAGGGAGGGGCAGTGCTCCAAGATATTCGTGATACAAAAATTGGGATGCAGTATAAGAACAAGAGTGACCTCAGTGATTTCAACAATTATTGAAGCATCTCTCTATTGAGCATTGTGAGGAAAGCGTTTTCCCCTGTAGTTCCTATCAGTTTGTAGATCTTAGCTGAATGCATCTATTTTGAATCCCAATGTGGTTCTAGAACTGAAATTCCACAATTGACATTGAGAAATGCTATGAATGAAGAAGACCTCTATATATTGCTTTCATCCATCTCACTAATGCAATTGACCATATGAGCTGAGGTGACCTAATTAAGCTACTGGTGAAAATTGGCTGCTCTTCAAAGATTGTCATTGTAATCTCCTCTTACCATGACAACATTATAGATAAGGTCAGCTGAGGCAACATTAGAATGCTGTTAGATCCACAATAGCATCAAACAATGTTGCATTCTGGCACCACCCTTTTTTGCATATTATTCTTTCTGCTGATGTTATATGCTTTCGGTGCATTTTCAGAGGTTGTTTACTTATATACCAGAACTGATAGAATGCTGTTCTGCCTTGCATGCCTGAGATGCAAGGCAGAGATGTGCCAAGACCACCTCAAAGTGTTGCTTTACACTGACAATGCTACACTAACATTCTGTGCTGAGGGACATCTTCAGCATTGAGTGAATAGATTCTCTCACACCTGTAAAAAGGTTTGTTTTGATTATCAAGCTTGGGAAGACAACGATCATGGTCCAGGATGTTGCCATACTGCCATTTATCTGCATTGTCATGGTTGTTGATAATTTTACATAACTAGGCTTCACAACCACCAGCAATGTGTCATGTGCTGCAGCACACACATTACAATAGCTGTAGCTGTCATGCCCAAGCTGACTGACATAGTATAGAACACAGAAGCAACTTGATTCTAGAACAATAATTTGAGACTATTAAGCCAATGCCTTCAGCACATAGAATAGAATCCCTACAATATGGAAGCAGGCCATTCAGCCCACACTGACCCTCCAAACAACATTCCACCCTGCATTTTCCACTGTAGACACTATGGGCAATTTAGCATAGCCAATCCACCTAACCTGCAAATCTTTGCACTGGGAGAGGAAACCCACAGACACAGGGTGAACATGCAAACTCCACACAGACAGTCACCCAAGGCTGGAATCGAACCCAGGGTCCTGGTGCTGTGAGGCAGTAGTGCTAACCACTGTAGAAGTGACACCTGGATAACATATGCAAGGCAGGAGAAAAGTTTGAACAGTTTCCACCTTCACTATCTTAGATATATCATTGGTTTCTCTTAGTCAGACAAAGTCACCAACTCAGATATCCTCAAACATGCTTATTGTATCTGGCTCAGCCACATCAGATGGATGACAATCTGTACCCAAAGACTCTCTGGTGAATTGAATTGACTACTGGATCATAACCTCCTGATTTCCATGCTTCTATTGCAAGAACTCCTGCAATGTGGTATGAAGACAGTAGACATTAACACTGATAAATGGAAGACGGTTGTTGATAGCCATGATCTCTAGGGACTGATTACAGGGGCATTGGAAAAGATCAACAGAAATAGACATCTCAGCTGACCAAAGAGAGGGCCCAAAGAAAACAGTGTCCAATGATACACACCTACTCAGCCCACTGTACTCTTCTACAGCAAATATGGCAGAGGCTGCCATTCCAGAGGGGTTTCTAACCGAGACCCCACAGCCTTTTGCAGAGACCCAGGAGTCCGTTTCAGAGACTCTGGCCAATGTCAAGCAGCGACTGGAGGAGCAGTAGAGAAGGAACAAGAAGAAGAGAGAAAGATGAGCTCTACTGCAGTAAAATCTAGCATTATATTCAGTATTTCAAGATGGCACTGGAGTGTGGTGACATTTTGTGTATAACACACAAAAACATTTTTCATGTTATTTTTACATACATGTGACAATAAATCTATATGTAAATCTAAAGCTAAATGAACCATTCCGGTCAATGTTTTGTACTGGGTTCACCACCATAGCAGAATCATCATCTGGGGAGACAAAGTTGGCAAGAAACAGCCTTAGTCCTTAGCCACAAAGCATTGTATTTTCCCAAGTTATACATAGTAGAACTTCCTGCTGTCTCGTGATGAAATACTTTTCCCAGCCACACAGTTAGCATTTGTAAAGAAAAAAATCAGAGTTAACGTTTTGGGTCCAGTGACCCTTCCTCAGAACTGGGAAAGGGTCACTGGACCTGAAACGCTAACTCTGATTTTTTTCTTCACAGATGCTGCCAGACCTGCTGAACTTTTCCAGCAACTTCTGTTTTTGTTCCTGATTTACAGCATCTGCAGTTCTTGCTGTTTTTACTTACACAGTTAGCATTCCCCATCTCACAACATGTAGCACCTTACCATGTTGCACAGTGCCATATTTTTCACAATTTCATAGCATAATTTTCTTTAAACTGTTAAAGTATTCCTGAGGCTAAAAGACAATAAGATATAGAAGCAGAAGTATACCATTTAGCCCATCAAGTCTGCTCTGCCATTAAATGAGATCATCACTGACCTAATAATTCTCACATCCACTTTTCAGCTTTTTTCCCCATAACCTTTGATTTCCTTATTGATTAAAGTATTTCTATCCCAGCTTGAGTGTATTCAATCACCCAGCTTCAATAGCCCTCTATAATAAAGAATTCCACAGATTCACAGTCCCCTGAGAGAAGAAATTCCTCGTCATTCTGTCTTAAATGTACAATGCTTTATTTCTGAGATTACATCCTCTGGTCCTAGATTCTCCCACAAGAGAACCCTTCTGCATCT